ATAATTTTTAATATTCTTATTATAACTAGGCACTATAAATAAACATTTTCGCACACTGAGGCGGAGAATTAAGTCTATAAATATTTAAAAATGTAAGAAAAAAATGTAATACAAATATTGTTTTCACATGTGTGAAAAGACAGACATGAGTAAGTTGAAGTATATTATTTTTAACCATACCGGGTACGTCTCAAAAGTGGCTCACCCTCATAACTTTTTAATTTTTTCAGATAAAAAATTGAGATTTGGTATGTTAGTGTATGAAATAAATTGGGATTGATTGACGTATTCAATTGTTTTCGATCACTTCCTGTTTCACCGGAAATGACTACAACTTTTTATTTTTAAACGGAACCCTCGGTATTTTTCTACTTTATTCGATAGAAAATGACACTCTGAATAGAATGACATATCATATTTCAACTTTTGACATTTTTGCTTAAAGCAAAATTGTATTTTAAATTTCAATCTAGAGTGCCATGGCTGTGTTAAAAAATACTAATTTTTAATCAAGGAGCCTTGGAAAAAGAGATATCGTCTAATGCTTTTCGTGTCTTGTCTTGGCCCGTTAAAAGAAGCCCAAATCGTATTTTTTATCATATCATATCTCAATTCAAACGGAACGAGGGTGGCTCATTAGCAATAATTAGCATATTTAAAAAAAGTATTTTTTACGAATAATTTGGTAACACACACTTGGCATTTCGAGTCAAAATGTCGTTATCAATCGCATGTTGCAATTGCAAATAAACCATATTCAAAAATGTCAGAAAGTCAGAAGTTGACGTATGATATGACATTCTATTCAGAGTATTATTTTCTATCGAATAAAGTAACAAAATACCGAGGGTACCATTTAAAAATCAAAAGTTGTAATGATTTCCGGTGAGACAGGAAGTGACCAAAAAAAATTGAATACGTCCAATCAATCCTAATTTATTTCATATACTTACATACCAAAACCAAACCTCGTTTTTTTTTTATCTGAAAAAATAAAAAAGTTATAGGGGTGAGCCACTTTCGAGACGCACACGGTATTATTAGGGAATTGTAATGAAAAATATATGATTCAATATTTAATACCTAGATGATAATAAATCCCCAGAACTGGGATCTAAAAAATTTCAACTGTCTAAATATCAATTTCAACAATAATTTTAAATAATTTACATATTTGTATAGTTTTTTTATAAAATTTTCAATTAAGTTTTTTACTAAAAATGTTACTAAAAGTTTGATAATATATAAAATAAAGCAATTTTTACTAACCTAATGGAAATTATAATTTATTAAATAAATATTGAACTATAGTCAGAAATTAATCCGATAAAAAGCGCATATTGCCTTTAATTACTGAAAGCTTTTTTTTAAAAAAAATAATTATTTATTTATTTTTACTCTGTTCAATTGATCGATTTTCTAGCTTTCATTAATTTATTATTAATTTTCAACTTCGAAGATTTACTGAAAATATAATAAATATTTTACTATGATTAAATAATAATTATTTATATTTGTTCCGTTTCCTATACCTTTCTTTTTTTAATTAGTACGAAGATTATTTATAATAGCACTCAGTCAGTCTGTTTTCTAGGTTACAAGGAAAGATATACATGGCGTCAAAAAAAATCTAACTTTGGTGTGTGATTCTACAGATAAAAATAAAACAAAAAGTTCCTATGAGCATATGCCCTAAAATGCTTCCCGAAGAAGTTACAGCCATCGAAAGGTTAAATAAAAATAATATATTTTATTTATTTTTAAGGACATTTGGTAAACCGTTTTTTCTGAAATTTGATACTCTTATACACATTTTAATGCCAAAGCGAATGGCGATTGTGAAAAATTCCGTAACAGCCCTGAAAGGGTAGGTACTTTCCATTGGGGTAGAGAGTACTACTGGTGGTACTTTTTTTATAACTCTGTAAAGAAACTTTAAATAAATTAATCTTCTGATTTATCTAGTGCCAAAATCCATGCAGCAAAACCTTTAAACGCAAATATGTGTAAGAGTACCAAATTTGAAGAAAAACGGTTTACCAAAGTTCTTAAAAATAAAATACAAAATAAGAATATGCCGAAGAATAGAATGTATTATTCTTATTTAACCTTCGAGGCTATAATTTCTTCGGGAAACATTTTAGGGCACCAAACCCACCAAAATTAGATACAATATTTTTTTGACACCCTGTATACCAAACACTTAATAGTTTTTTTTTAATAACATTCAGATGATAATTTTTGAATTAAAAAAAGAAATTAGCTACCCAGAATATCATAACGTTCTTGTAATATTAAAAAATAATTACTGAATTTATAATTTTTATATATTTTTTTAAATAAAATAAGTTCTACCAACTTTATTCTGAATATTGCATAGAAATTATTGACTACCTTACAGCAATGCAAAGGGTACTCAAACATTACCGAAATACATATTCTTTATAACATATATATATTTTTTTCCTTTCTTGGGTATGAGGTTTTAATTGAAAATGGAAACTTTTTTTTTTATTATGCGACGTTTCGCCTCATCATGGTTTAGGATAATAATAATAAATAACGTCGCATAATAAAAAAAAAAGTTTCCATTTTCAATTAAAACCTCATACCCAAAATATATATATGATATAATTTAAAGGTTTAAGAAAAAGAAAAAAAAAATAAATTCCTTATAACTATAGTCTGTCCAAAGTTGTTGCTGTTATTTTAATTTACAGGTTGTAAATCGTATTTTCTGTCTTTAATTTTTCTGACTTAAATTTTCCTTGACTCGTTAGACAGACTTTAGTCATAAACTCACCCAACTGAATAACACTTGTTGTCATTGAACTTTTACATTTAAAGAATATAGGTACTATTTTTGTCTGTTCGTTTGATTACCTTTCCTTTATTCTTAATTAATACATAGGAAGGCTACCGAAAATAATTTATTTTGTTGTGTAAACAGCTTTAGTCATTATTAGGAACTTTACCATTAAATAAAAAAATATTTAAATCGTCACAAAATGAAATAATAAAATAAAACTAGTTGTCATTGAGCTTTTAATTAATAATAATAATAATTAGTCGTTTATAGACTAAATATTATTTATTTTTATTTATTTAATTCTCTAGAACTTTCTTTTTTTAATTAGTACATATAGGAAGAATAAAATTAAAAATTGCAATAAACATTACATCCATTTTTAATAAATAAGTTTTAAATCATAATTGAAGAATATTGACTAGATTGAAAAAAAGGAATTTTTACTACCTAAAAGAATCTAACATTGTTAAAAATAATTGCACTGTATTTAAAAATATATATATATTTTTTTAAATTCTTATTGAAAAAATCTATATTTGTTTTTTTTTTAATGGAACACCCTGTATATTATTTTTTTATTAGATGGAGAATTAAAAAATGAACATTTTTTGTATTTAAAGTATTTCAAAATTTTTAATTGTTTCGTAGATACACGCAGTATTATTTCATATGGCTTTGATATGGCTCTCTCAACGGTAAAATACGAGAGAAAAACCATTGGGTGGCTTTGATAAAAATTTACTATGGAAAATGCCATAAATATGAAATATAAAACCGCGAATATCTGCGAAACCGTTAAAAATTTTGGAATACTCTAAATACAAAAAATGTTTATTTTTTAATTCCCCATCGATTGAAAGTATAATATACAGGGTTAAAAAGACGAAGAAAAAATATTTTATATTTTAGAAAGTTTGGCGTAAAATTTTGACGATTAACATATTTATAACAAAGTAAGTACAGAAGTAAGTACAGACCATCTAGTAAATATCTAATATATTTTTGATTTCAGGACAGTTCTTGTATTTTTAATAATTTTTTTTAAGAGAGGCTGAAAAATATACATATATTTTTTATTTATTTCTTAATATCTCTGAAACTATCGAAATGTATTTACTAATATCTTAGGATTACGTAAAGTGACCTGAAAAGAAGCCAAAAATGCAATAATATACAGGGTGTTCCATTTTAAAAAATTCATTCCGATCCACTCACACTTTTTTGAGCCACCCTATAGAAGTTAAAGTATTTTCCTGGAATACCTCATAGAACATAATTTAGATTTGCACTTAAACAAAATTCTTAAGTTTTTTATTCTAGGAGCTACAGATGCCCGGCGCACTATTGCCGGACCCTGTATAGGGAGCCTAATATAATAAGATTTGTTGCCATTTTATTAAGTTATTAATTATAAAATTACTATACTAACTAATTTTGATTTTTACCCTATTCAATTTCATAGTTTTCTGTTTATGTTTAAATATAAGAGGAAATATATACATTACCTACAATAACATTCAGTGATTTAATTATAATTACCAAAATATCCATTACAGATACTTTTTAAAAATGTTATAAAATATATCATAGGAAATTCAACTATTTATATAGAATATCTAACAGTTTTAGTATCTATGTGGATCTATAACAGTTTTTAAATCTAAAAATAATTTTAATTTTTTTTTTCAGGATCTTTAATTTCTTTTATAATTGTATTTATTTATTACTAAAAATTTAATCATATTTTATTCTACATATCACAAAAATCTTGACCGCAGACTATTTTAGTATTTTTTTGTAATGTATAATATAGATATGAATTAATAAAATTAACCCGATAAAATAACACTTGTTGCCATTGAGAACTTTTGAATTAAAAAAATACTGTATATTTTATATTTTTACGTGTTAAATTTCTTAGAGCAATCAGTTTTTCTCTAATAAGAAAACTCTCCACAACAGCATACAATAGAAATGATAATTATTTATTTAAATATCAGATAATAACTGTTCAAAACTGGACAGATTTATAAAAAAACAACTCGCATATCAGTATTTATAATATTTTAATTTATTATAAAGTTCATCGAAAAATAAATATAAAATAATAGACTTAAACTAGTTAAAACTCTACTGAACAAAATATAACTTGTTGCCTTTGAATTTTTTTAAATTAAAAACTTATTTTTACCTGTTTAATATCCTAAAGCTTTATTTCTTTCCTTAATTAATACGAAGAATTTCCACAATAGCACGAGACAAACTAAAAAACTATCATTTTTACGATGACATTTAGTATAATTTTACCGCATTTTTGTAAAACCGAAGATAACACGAAGCGGCGACTAAACGAGACAGCACACATCGATAGCGATTTCTTTGAATACGAAAACGAACTAAGCGGTGGAATATCCGTTTTCGCCGTCGTTGGTGAATGGGGTTCTCCACTCTTTTGTTACCTGTCGGTCTACCGGTGGTCAAATCTCGTTTACATCGCTGGTTTTGTTCGGTAATATAAAGAGGCACCAGACGAGGGTTGTTATTAGCCCTATTGAACAGGAACGATCTTAGAAGATAAATAGCTCAGTGATCGGCGACTTTAATTTAAAAAAGATAGAGACCGGTTATTATTTAACGAACTGTTATTTAGAAATAACAGTTCGCAAAAATTATTGCTCCTGAAAAATAACAGATGTGAAAATAACAGTGCACGTCTTCTACTTCTTCTTTCTCGGCCTGGTTCCATCCAGTGTTGGATATAAGTCTCTTCTAGGTTTTTTCATGCTATGCGATCTCTAGCCAATCTCGTCAATTATCAATTGTCTTCCTGCCACTGTTCTAACATCATCGATCCATCTCTTTTTTGGTCGGCCCATACTTCTTTTAGTTCCCATTGGTCTCCATTGCTTTTTGAGGCCATCGCACAGTGGGCAAAAATCCAGAAGTATGTTGCAAAAATTCTTTTTTTTTACGATTTTATTCAAATTTGGTAAAAACATTCTATGCCAGTAGGCCGTGAACCCTGTTAGTTTTGGCTGACTTGAGAGTGGTTGGGGGTGGTGGAGGAGATTCATAAAATGGAAAAATCATCTTTTGACTAATACAGCTACCAAAATGCGGTAAGAATATTTTACATTTCACTAAATTTTACAATTTTTGGCAGAGACAAGATGAAACAGACAAATATTGAGCAATAATACTCTGCCATATACAGGGTTTGTTTTATATATTGACATCCTCTGTATCTTTTTTATTCGACGTTTTCGAAAAAAGTGTCTTAAATAAAAGTTTAACGGTCTCGAATACATTTTTCAAAACAGTCTTCTTTGCATATACAGGGTGCCTTAGAAATCCTGTGTGTGGCCCAACTTTCTTATTTCAAATTAGTACCCAATTTTTTATTTGATTTTTATTTTCTCCTAAAAATCCTAACTACTTTTTTGTAGCATAGCCTATACCTAATTTGAAATAAGATAGTTGAACCACGCCCAGACTTTTTGAAGCACTTTGTATATGCGAAATAGACTTTTTTGGCAAATTTATTCAAAACCACTTTCATTTGAAACAGTTTTCGGAAACGTCAAATAAAAAACATAAAGGGAATGTCAATGTATATAAGAAAACCCTAGTATACTAATCCAATCGAACTTTTATTCAAGATTGTTTGTCATTTGAATAAGTTAGGTCTCTAATAATACCAGGCAATATGTGAACAATATTTTATTATTATATTTTAAATGAGTAATAATATTCTGAGAATTAAACAATGACAATTTAGAGAATAATAGAACTTATACCTATTAGAAATATCTAAATTTTATTTTACCACCTACTATTTACTGATATTTTGTTTTATAACAGCTGGAAGCGATGGTCACGACGTGCACATTTTTAAATCTGAAAGAAAAATCCATTTCATTTAATTTAAAAAATTAGGTACTGTCAAAATTTGTCAATTTGTCAAAAAATGTCATTTGACATTTATGACATACCTCTTCGGAAATCTTGAGAAAAGTTACGTAACTTTATATTTCAAGTTCTTCTCTAGCTCTAGCTACTATAACAATTAATTTATGAGAAGTATCCACATAAAGAATGTTACTATACACATACGCATGGAGGCTTACGCTTCCAATAAATTTAATGTTGCGATTTTTTGCGATTTTTTTGACTTAACTTTTCTAAGATAGAATATATGCCACTATCAAAAAAACCTTAAATGATTATGTTCTACTTTGACCTTTATCTAGTTTTTATCCAAAAAATCAAAATAAAAGATACTTTTTTACTTACCTTCACATTAAATATACCCCAACCGGAAATCTACGTAAAACACGTTATGACAATTTTACAATAATTTTTCACAGTAAGCTAAGGTCGTCCGATTCAATTGTTATAATACTGTGTCACTTGAATGCAACGCCTACTATTTAAGAAATTGTAGAAAAAAGGTAGTTATTGGACACAAATTAACTGAAAATGTAGGTTTTGCGCAAAGTTCGTTTTACAGCCCCTCGAAAGAGACTCCGAATATGTTTTTTTGTTAGTTTTATGTGGTTTCCTCTTAACTAATATGTTTCCAATCTAATGTTATTGCCATAAATGCTAACTGTGGATGTTATTTTTTGCAACTTGGTTTGGACATATTGCCTATGTGCATCGGTCTGAATCCTGTCGCGTCATATGTCCCATTCATTGCCACTTCAGGCTTGTTGTTTTTTTTAACATCTTTTAACAACAGTGCGCTAATAGCTCGTAATGTGAATAACTCGTAATGTCAAGTATGAATCATCTCGCCACGATTTTTTACCAGCCTGCAATAATTGATGAGTGATCGGCCATTTTAATTTAAAAAGATAGAGATGGGTTATTATTTAACGATCTGTTATTTTAAAATTGTTATTTATAAATAACAGTTCGCAATAATTATTGTTGCTGCTGAAAAATAACAGATATGAAAATAACTGGGCTCTAATAGCAATAACTCAAACAACAATTGCTGAACGATCGGCGATTTTAATTTAGAAGATGGAGACGGGTTATTATTTAACGATCTGTTATTTTAATACTGTTATTTAGAAATAACAGTTCCCAACAATTGTTGTTGCTGAAAAATAACCGGTATGAAAATAACAGTGCACTGTGAGATTTTTTACAGGTCTGCAAAAATTGCTGACCGATCGGCAAGTTTAATTTAAAAATATGGAGGTGGGTTATTATTTAACGATCTGTTACTTTAAAACTGTTATTTAGAAATAACAGTTCGTAACAATTATTGATGCTCGAAAATAACAGATATGAAAATAACAGTGCACTAAATGGATCGCCTCGCCATGATTTTTTACAGACCTGCAAAAATTTGCTGACCGATCGGCGATTTTAATTTAAAAAGATGGAGATGGGTTATTATTTAACGATCTGTTACTTAAAACTGTTATTTAGAAATAACAGTTCGTAACAATATTGTTGATGCTGGAAAATAACAGATATAAAAATAACAGTGCACTAATATTAGCAATATAACTCGTAAAGTGAATGTTATGATTTTTATGAGTACCTTGTTTATATAGTGTATTGTTATGATTAACAAATTAAGGTTTATGTATATGTCAGATTGTATTATTCATAATGCATGGTTTTTATGACAGAGGCGATAGAATGTTACGGGAGATAAGATATTGTGAGCGAGGCTCCCGCGGTCAGTCGGTACCCGGCGTTCGCACGAAGCACATGTTTGTGTCGTAATCCTGAGTACTACGATGTAATAAAGGAGTTATGAGAGAAATCCAAATCCAGTGTTTTATTTGAAAATACAAGTTGTACTCTTACATGAAGTATGGATCGCCTCCCCACACATGATTTTTACAGGCCTGCAAAAATTGCTGACCGATCGGCGATTTTAATTTAAAAAGATGGAGATGGGTTGCTATTTAACGATCTGTTATTTATAGACTATTCTTTAGAAATAATAGTTCGTAACAATTGTTGATGCTGGAAAATAACAGATGTGAAAATAACAGTGCACTAATAGCGATAACTCGTAATGTGAAGTATGGATCGCCTCGTCGTGATTTTTTACAGGCATGCAATAATTGCTGAGCGATCGACAACTTAAATTTAAAAATATACAGGCGGGTTATTTTTATCGATCTGCTGTTATTTTAGAACTGTTAATTGAAAAGAACAGTTCGCAACAATTGTTACTTCTAAAAAATATCAGATATGAAAATATCAGTGCACTAATAGCGATAACTCGTATTATAATGCGTGGCTCTTATTATACAATTATTATCATTTCCAATTTCGAAAAAATTACACTACCACGGATAACCACACCACGAAATTTTATATGTAGAATATATGTAGAAATGCAGTACCCACTTCTGACTCAGAAAATTTGGTCGTACAAAATGGTCGTACGTTTTATACTCATTGTGCGGTTTCGGCTTTTTTTTTGTCAGATAGGGAAATCCAACAATGCTGATGAAGGTTTATTCCCTGAAACCGATCGTCAGATAATTGTTTCTTTCGGTCTGATATATTTTCAACAGAATTTCAGAAACTTTCTAATTTTTTCTTGATCTGGGAGTCGAAATATCCCAGATCTGAAAATAATACCTTGCAAAATTGTTTTCGTCTGACGTCTGACACATTTAAATATTAGTTCCGCTTCTGACATATTCTTTCGTAAATTTAAAAAGACTGCACTTTCTGTATATCATATCAACTATAGGAATAAAACGGAAAATAAAAAAAATTATAAATGAAACTATATTATTTATTTAAAACTAAATTGTATAACAGTATAAGTACAAAGATTAAAAAGTGAGTAAATGGAAAACTTACACAATGGAAATATTGTTCCATGATTTAAGTCATTTTGGACTTTATAAACACTACATCATTTTACTTAACAGTAAAGAAATAACAGGGAATGTCAATATAGCACGGGGAATAAAAAAATATACAGGATGAGTTTCCTACGGTGTTCTCTATGGGCATCTCTTGTATTTTTTTTTTTAAATGAAGAAAAGCGTGTAGGATTATTGGTTGAGCTTTTCTTGACCATACAAGATACGTTGACCAGTAAAAGTAACTTTTACTGGTCAAAAAAAAAGACCAGTAAAAGTTACTTTTACTGGTCTTTTTTTTATTTCCAATGGTGTTCTAATTTTGTTATGATTTATAATTATAAAAAGACAAAATATATTATTAAACGGTTCTTTACAATTTACGTTACATAAACTAAAACTTAAAAAAATAATCAATACATACACTTTAAGTTATTTTAGAAAATGTTCAAAAAATTGCCGCAATTGTTTTGAGTACATAAAAGCATCTTTTTAAAACTGAATTTCTAGCTATTGTCACAGAACGACCGGTCGACTTAATTAAATTTCTCCTGTTCCTCCTCTTCGAGTGCCTCTCATAAGTTCATAAGTTCTTTTGTAAACTTGTTGTTAACCATACCGCATAAAAAAAATCTAAAATGGATAGGTCAGGTGACCGAGGAGACCCATTCAATTGGTCCACCTCTTTCTATCCCTGAGTCTACATAATTATGATAATAAAATAATTTTTAACATTTCTTACATTGTTGGGAAGCCGTCTTGAAAACCGTTCTCTAAAAAACATAAGTAACGTTCACCGGTCAACGTATTCTCGAAACTGTATAGCCAAGAAAAGTTGAACCAATAATCCTACACGCTTTTATTCATTTGAAAAACTCATATTTACAATTTTTGTTTATTTTAATTTACAAAGATTGGATGTGACAATTTCACATTTCTGAGAGCAACGACGATTGAACTTGTTTCCATGGCTAACTAAGTGAAATTAGTCAAGAAAGATAAGAATTGGCTATAACTCAGTAATTTTGTGAAAGAAACATATCATAGCTTATATCGCTGAAAAGCTTAAAAAATGGCGCTATTTATGAAGTCATGACCAACTATGGTTTCCATTTAAAAAAACATATGTTTGTGTCATATGTCAAAAATTACAGGCTTTAGAAAAAATCGGAGAACACAATCTCATTAGAAATGTGATTATCTACAACTTTTATCGGAACATTTTTTGTATAAAATAGATTATAATGGAATTAGGGACAATTTTTAAAATAGCCAAAATTTGTTTTTTTTCGAAATATCTAGTAAGCCATGAACTTCTTCAAAAATCTAAAAGGCGCATATTTATGACCCCACAAAACTGCAATTCTTTCCCCATTTAACTGACTCTCTATCTCTAGTAGTTTCCGAGATACTCATAGAGAACATCCTAGGAAACTCACCCTGTATATTCTGTATTCTTGATATAAAGGAACAAAATATTTAAGTATTGTCTACAGTCTTATTGCTTTTACTATATATTTTTATCAGAAATATTTAAACAGATTTTAACAAAATTATTATCCTAAGTACGATCGACCGATATGTGTATTATCACGAACAATTAAGAATTTTATACTATAGGGTTCTAATTCAGCTTAATTTTTTTAGCAGATTTTATACTCTGAACGCACGTTTCTCTAACCATATTAGCATCATCGATCGATGAGTAAGTTATCAAGTTTATGTCCCATTAAAGCAGGGCGCCCATCGGATCGGATCGGCACGAAACAGTCCTATCATGATTTGAAATACGTAGAAATAGATTGACATCCGCTCACTGGTTCAGTCCCGCTCGGCAACGTCCATCGGTTGGCTTCGGAATCAGTCTTTTTTGGTAGAGAGGGCAAAAAATTCCGAAGGTCCGATCAGTTTTCTCATTGTGTTTAATGTAAACACCACTGTGTACTACCTTGTAGTTGATTATTTTGTGTGATATTTATTGTTTACAATGGATGAAGAACTTTTAATTGATACTGTTAGAGAATATCCACATTAATTGATACTGTTTGAGGTTAATTTCTTGGACCTAAAGGCTAAAATCTCTTATTTTGTTTTTCTATCTCAAAGCATGCCAACGCGATCCTATCATCATCGTCGGAAGATGAAGAGCTCATATTATATAAATTATTAAGTATTTTTTATAAAATTCTAATCCGAACTAAAATAAACTACATGCCACTGAAGCATACCGATTTGGTGAGCGGGTGTTGGACGTTTCCGAACTGAGCGATGCCGTGCCGATCCGATCCGATTCAATGGGCGCCCTGCTTAAGGCTATATTCCGTTTCTTACCTTGGTTATAGTTTTCTGTTCCGTTTCTATGTTTTGCCTGAAACTTTTATTACGGAACACGGTTCCTGAAAAATATCCGTTAATATTGTCACCAGGGTTCGGAAGTAGTTAATTAAGACGTAATATACCTGATTAACTACGTGTAGTTTTTCTTCAAAAACTACGTCTTTTTCCGTTCATTAACTACATGAAAACTACGTTAGTAAACTATGTATTGATATTATGAATAATTTTCCTTCGTATGAGGTGTAATAGAGATAATATGATGTAAATGTTCTATAATATGAATATTGAAATTTATAAAACGTCAATGTTTGACATTTTTACTACATTATCAAACTGTTCCGTATTTGACAGATATTTTTCAGGAACCGATCCATACCATAGTTTACCAGCCAGATTAACCTGGTTTTACAACGGAATACAGCCTAAAACAACAAATTTGAATTCTAGGAAAGCATCAAGTCATAGCGGGTTCTCACCTGTCAATCTTAAATTAATCAATCTTAATCTAATTACTGTAGCAGTCTGACTGATTCAGTATTACCGGGTATTACTGAAAGATGGAAATCGCATATGTTCACACTTTCATTTTGACCACTGAATACATTCAGTCGGTCTACATATCTTTGGTTGATCTCGTTAACATTTATGTTGACAAAATTATAAGCAGAGCTGCAAGCTCACAGAAAACTTAAGTCTTTTTTTATTTAAATCATTTTCATGACTTAAGTCATTTTTCGAAAGCTGACTTAAGATTTAAAGCTTCATTCAGAACCTCCCAATTAGTGGAATAAATTGGTGGTTCCAATTACACTTTATACTTTTTAGTTTACGATCATTCACAATATCTTAAAAACACAATTAAAATTAATAGAATATCCTAGCAACAGCTTGCAGTAGTCAGTTGTATCCATAGAGAAAGCCCTTTGAATAAGAAGACTAAGGAAGTAGCATAATGCTATCCATGTATTCATGCATGGTGGGCGGAAAAGCCACCATAAAAGCTCTCTAGGGTGGGGATCCTTGACAGTTCTGTTTGACGATTCATTTGACACATTTGAATTTGATTTGAAATTTTGTGGATTTGTCAGTCTTTACGGAGCTTATTTTATGTTATTTATTATTTATTCTACTACTGATAGTTGTATAAAGGTAGTAAATCTAGATGGAAATTGTGGCAGAACTTAAATTAACAGTGACACTATCGCGATTGATCAAAAAAGACTCTAAAATAGTTGGTTGTGTAGCGTGCGGTAGATCTCGGCAAAAATTGAGTGAAATAATGGAACAACTTTTCGCTAGTAAGTGACTATATAATATACATACGTGTAGTAAACCGATCATTTATGAAATTCGCTTAAATTAACTAAATTATATATTTTTCTCGCATTTTAGCTTTTATTTATTACTTGTCAAAGATTAGATGTCAAAGAATTTAGATACGTTAATTTGACTTACCTGCTTCAGTAGCGTATCAGATGTTTGTGTTAATAAATACTTATTATAAGAGTTATATATTTTTATAACAATTTTAATAACTACCAACATTTATTCACAACGTAAAATAAAAACAAATTATTGAGTCTACCCCACGTCTACCCTACATCATAGTTTTACATTTTTTAAATAAAATTAGAACGACACTGATAAACCGGAATTTAAGTCAGCCATATTTGAGGCCCATCGCGGTGTACCTAAGATTTTTGATATGCTCCTTCCTTAGTCCTCTTATTCAAAGAGAAAGCCTAATATTCAGCTTATAAAACAATAAACTTTTGATTTCAAACCACAATTTCTCTTCACGGGTAATAATCAAAAGACAAAAAGATATTCCTCGCAAATTTTAAAGTATAATTAGTGGAAAAGTTAAAACTTTGTTAACTTTTTCCACTAATTGAAGATTACTACTTGAAGATTACTACCACTAATTTTGACGTTGTGAATGCTTGTATTGATATTAGGGGAACGAACTTCTACGCTAATTGAAACCACTAATTTATTTCACTAATTTCGATGTTCTGAATGAAGCTTAAGTCTTTTTTTTCTTTATTCCGGAATAGAAAATGATTTAACTCTTTTTAGAAAAGACTAACCTTAGTAAGTCATAAAAACGACTTAAATTATATTATATTTATTTAAATCTTTACGAAAATGACTTGACTTGAAAGAAAATGATGTAAGTCAGACTTAAGACTTAAATCATTTCAACTTTATGTTGAATTTGACTTAAGATTTAAATCATTTTGATTTTAGAAATAGCTAAGTCTTTTTCAAACTGACTTATTGCAGCTCTGATTATAAGCAGTTGTTCGAGGAGTATATTGTGAATATATATGAAAATATCCTGGAACATAGGTCAGGCAGTGGATATTACGGTGAAAGTACTGGTGAAACTATATTGAAAGAATTAGTTTTGGAATCCAATTATTCTGACAATGCTTCATCCAAACTTGGAAAACTACATAAAATTACATGCTCACACTAAATTTTGAAATAATTCTTCCTCCAAAATGAACATAAGTAGAACTGTCTTTGACTTTCAATGAAAGAAAGGATATACTAGTCAGTTTCATTGAAAATGTGTTCTCACGTTCATTATTCACTAACATTGAATCAGTCTGTGCTTCAGTGAGACTAATAGGCGAAAACCTGCCTTTAGTGAAGTACTGGTGATGCTAACATGATTAATAAAACGTTCCTCCAGAGTATAAAATAAAAAGCTTTGATGTTTTGTAAATTATGTGTAATTTTATGTTACAACACTAACCGAAAATGTAAAAACAGATTTGTTAATGTAAAAGTAATAATAAAGTAAATATGTATAAAGTAAATTTGTACGTATACATTCCTTAATAAAATAAATAAACGTTTAAGGTTAAATAAAAAAAATAAAACTGGAATATTTAAATTCGAGAAAGGTACATTTCCAAAGATTAAATCCTAATCTTTGACATTTTTATCATCCTACATATATACGTATAATATAAAAAACAGTGTAAACACGTTTAAGGAATAAAAATACCTTGTACAAACACAAGTTCAACCTTGAATACCCGAAAAAGGTATACTTTTAAAATTGACGATGGTGGCATCGGGTAACAGAGGCATTCTATCTTCTTTCTTCTTGATCACTTTGCCTTTCTTTCCTCTGTGTACCACGCCATCTTCGTCATCCATCATTCTGAGTATCTGAATCTGATCGGAGGAGTCGATAGGAGCTACTGAAATGTCCCTGACGGCTCTGAATTTACCGCAATTGTTCAAGTGTTCGTTCTCTAATCGGAAGAAGTTCCACACAAATCTACGAATGATAGAAAAAATAGGTAGGTAGATATTATGCACCAAGGACATCAATAAGACAGTAATGCCCAGAAGACGACAAGACTACCGGGTGCGTCTCAAAAGTGGCTCACCCCTATAACTTTTTTATTTTTTTCAGATAAAACAACGAGATTTGGTATGTTAGTATTTGCCATAAATTGGGATTGATTGACATATTCAATAATTGTTTTCGGTCACTTCCGGTTTCACCGGAAATGACTACAACTTTTGATTTTTAAATGGCACCGTTGGTATTTTTTCACTTTATTGGATAGAAAATGACACTCTGAATAGAATGACATATCATATGCCAACTTTTGACACTTTCGCATGTGGTTTATTTGAAACTGTAACATGCGGTTCATACCGATAATTTGACTCGAAATACCAACTGTGTGGTATCAAATTATTCGTAAAAAATACTTTTTTATTTTTTTAGTCTTTTTCGAAATATGCTCATTAGTCACCGTCGTTCCATTTGAAAAAATTGGGATATGATTAAAAATACGATTTGGGAATCTTTTAACCGGCTAGGACAAGGCACTAAAACATTAAACGATCAAATTTATTTTTTTCAAGGCTCCTTGATTAAAAATTAGTGTTTTTAACACAGCCGTGGCACTCTAGATTGAAATTTAAAATACAATTTGTTTTTGAGAGCGAATATGTCAAAAGTTAAATATGTCAAAAAAAAGACATATATATGATATATCATTCGATTCAGGGTATCATTTTCAATCGAATAAAGTATAAAATATCGAGGGTGATATTCAAAAATCAAAAGTTGTCATTTCCGGTGAAATAGGAAGTGACCGAAAATATTTGAATACGTCAATCAATCCCAATTTATGTCATATACTAAGGTACCAAGTAGTACCAAGTAGGTACTAAGTAAGAGGTAAGTACAAGAAGGTACCAAGTAGGTATCAAATCTTGTTTTTTTTATCTGAAAAAATAAAAAAGTTATAGGGGTGAGCCACTTTTGAGACGCACCCGGTCGGTATACCAAAGCGCCCGTCAGAATATTTTTGTTAACGTTGTTATCATCTATAGGGTGTCCCAATAGATAAAAATTACTACGTATTTTAGGAATCAAGATTTAATTTACCTCTATACAAAAGTGCTTCTTTTGTCTGTTAGAGGGCATCAAACTTAAAAATAAACACCTTTTTTCAGGTATCTTAAGAACCGTTAATCCGATTTGAATGAGATTTGGGGTGCATATCTTTTGCTAAGTGCTTAAAGATTTCACTTTCACAAAAATCAAGAAATAGTACGGGAAAGGTAAAAACTACCTCCACCCCCACATAAATTTTAGTAGAAATTTTCCAACTCCATCGACGACCGACTTTTTTTTTCGTAAAATTGTCCTTCTAGTATTTTCTACCTTTTTTTGCCTCTTGTAAAAAAACGCCACCATGTATAATTTTTGAGGAAAAAAAAATTCTGAAGCTTTTCCGAAGACTTAATGACATATCTTGTCACATTAAATCTAGTTTTGTGGAATCGACCCAAGCTCACCTGATGATGGGGTAGGGCCCCGAAACCGGTAGTGAGACCAGGTTGATCCCCATTATGACGAACACAGTGTGGAATTAATTTCTATATTAGCAGTTTGGCAAGAAATACTTATATAATTTTATTATAAACCTATAACAGCAAGAAATATTTTTCCATTAAATCTTGTATGAGCTAATAATCTAGTTGTCATATGGAATTTTATGTTAAGCCCCATACTCACACTTCGCTACTTCACTTCCTTCCTTCGTCGCGTCCCTTCGTCCAAAAATCTTATATTTACTATGGGAAATGTCGATTTTATGCGACTGTGTGTTCCTTCGTTCCTTCGTCAAAACGCTCCTTCGTCTGTTGACTTCCTCGAAACGCTCCTTCCCCGTACTGTCGGTTTTTGGACGAAGTAACAAAGGAATTATCACGAACACAAAAAAATATTAAAATATATAAAATATATAAATCGATCTTGGATTTCATTCGTAGTTGATTTCTTGATTTGGTAGTACGTCTGTACAGGGTGTCCCATTTTCGTGTGTTTTGCAGGGCTTCTCGTTTATGAGTCGAGATACAAAGATGCGGTTTTCACATTACGCTGTTGCTTTTTTATGAAACTAAAGATGTTACATACAGATATGTCCTAGCTCTCTTACTTCCTAAAATACAGGGCGAATCTGAAATTATTGCATTTTTCGATCCCCTTTGTATCATAACTTATCGAAAAAGTGAAAACGGTCTCCCGTACAGTTTTTCATGAAGAATGCAGTGACGTAACTATTTCTTCGTTGGAATCTGTCTTTTTTTAAATTGACTGAAACTTATATGTTTTTTAAATACGATATTTTGTATATTATTTTATTTTCCTTGTTACGAGCTTCCTAAAATACTTATTTTCATAAACGGGGTAAAAATGCATTATTTAACTTTATCAAAACAATCAACTAATTTATTCGACGTAAAATGTTGGTTATTGGCATGTTATTTAAAAGCAGCACGAGTTCAGTTTCCGTGTAGTTTATCAAAATATCACGATGCAAGCAAAATTATCTGGTAAAATTAAGTTAAATAAACGGCTCTTATTTTATAAGAGCCGTTTAGCAGTTTAGCAGTACCTAAATAAATAAATATAGAGTATATTATAATTTTCCAAAGCTCATAACAAGGCAAATAAAATAAAAAATAATATATAGAGTGTCCTGTTTAAAACAAAGAACATAAGTTGAATTGAAAATTTCCCAATGAAGAACCACTTTCGTCACTGCCATTCTACCTGAAAAACGAGACACGGCCGTGGGTAAGTACTCAATGGGTAGAACAAAACAAAATCAGGGTATCCGGTAAATACCTGTACATTTAGATGAACAGTCTAATTTTATAAAAGGTATTTCCAACGACCGCATAGTAAATACCCGGTATAATACCAGTAATATCAGGAATACGAGTATATCTACAATATTATATATATATATATATATATATATATATATATATATATATATATATATATATATATATATATATATATATATATATATATATATATATATATATATATATATATATATATATATATATATATATATATATATATATATATATATATATATATATATATTGTAGATATTATATATTGGTATATTTCTATTCCCGGTATTATACCAGGTATTTACTATGCGGTCGTCGGAAACTCCTTTTATTAAAATTAGGATGTTCATCTAAATCTACAGGTATATATATATATACCCAGATTTTATTTATCTACAAATTGGGTACTTACCCACCGTGCATCACTGACCCTTTTCACCTTTTCGATAAGTTATAAGATAATCGAGATACAAAGGTTATCGAAAAATGCAAAAATTTCTACTAATTAAAAAATAAAAAGTAAAAAAAAGAAATAAAAAATAACTTTGAACTAAGAAGGCTAGGATAAATGTGTGTATAGCATATTTAGTTTCATAATAAGTAGAACAATGATGTGAAAACAGCATCTTTATATCTCTACTCATAAACCAGAAACCCCATAAAACACACACAAATGGGACATCCTGTACATCTAGCAATCGCCAGTCGATATAAAAATAATTCACACACAATAGTCTAAAAAATGGAAGAAAAACACAATATTGTCTTCATATTTGTGAAAAATGCATGTCCATATTTATGTAATCGTAGCGACAAAAAAATAAAAAATAGAAATAGTGTGCATGATGCCTTTACAAAAATATCTGAAGAAATGGGGATTGACATCAGTAACGTTTAATTAGTATGTCATATTTCATGGTTTCGATATAAATTACATAATAAACTTTACTCTATTGTTGACTCGCCTTGTACATTCATACTGATATACCTTGTACATGATACTGAAATATTCGGATTAAAAATTCAAAAAAAATATATTATTAAAATTCAATTTTTATTTTTGACACGACAAAGAATTGCATTTTTATAAAATAAAAATTATGCGTCTTTCGGATTTTTTAAAAATTTTAGAGGTTACTAGATATTTCGTATTAAACATGTAGCTGCTATATTAAAAATATTTTGCGGTGTGTTGTTGCATAATTGATTGTTGCATAATTTCCAAGCATCGAATGGACGAAGGAAGGAAGCGAAGGGACGAAGGAGCGAAGTGTGAGTATGGGGCTTTAGTATCACAAATGATATTTGAAAGTAAGCTTCATAAATTTTAAATGAATTAACGATAGGGGTTATTTTTTATTGATGCCCTAAACGAAGCACTTCCTTATAGAGGTAAATTGTGTCCAATGAACTTATTTTGATTCCAAAATTACGTAGTAGTTCTATGCCCACGGAATATTGGCTGACCATATTGACACCCTGTATAACGCCCGTGATGCATACAAGACATTAAGTTTTAATTCATCATTATTTCTGTATTTCTGTTTTTTTTTGGATTAATATAAATAACATAGCCAGCTAGAGTTTGACTAGTAAGAGAAAGAACAATTTCTACAGACAACATTAAAAAATTGACAGAAAAAAATAATTTACTTTTGAGTGCAAATGACAGATAACTGTTAAACTAGCTCGTAATTCTCTCGTGGAACAGAGTATGTATAAAAACAAACGATGGCTAAAGAATACAAAGACATGTAACGCCAATATACGGGCTGCAACAGAATTTGTGATGTTAGACGCCATTTTTTTGGATGTAAAGAATGAGTTATCAGCGACAATTTTAGCGATTTTTCATAGTTTGTGTATAGTGAACTTTGTATAAACTTTATTACAATGGTGATTAGTTGTTCAGCTTTCAAGTGTAAAAGCCGCAGCGATAAGAAAGAGCCAGGAGTTACGTTTCATAGGTAAATAAACAGTCCATTCCATCTTTTTAGCGTTTTCTTATTGAATTCGATAATTATTTTTCTGATATTATATATGTACTTGAAATGTGCTAGACATCGATACTAGTTTTTTACCTTTTCTTGACATTTTAATACGTTTTTTCGTAATTAACTAGTATACCACCGCATACACCATAGGCGTAGTCAAAACATTTATAAAAAAATATAAATATCTCTTCAAGCAGCTAAGGTAAAATATGTGCCACGGCACTCTTTGGAGGTATAGTAACAATTTGGTCTCGGTTGTTATTAGTCCTTGTATTCTCTAGTCATTGAAAACAAATCAGTACATCTGTTTTTACCTGATAGGTTTAGCAATGAGCAGCTTTTAATTTTTATTTAAATATAATATAATAAACACAAACCTTCTAAAAACTTCTAATGGAGCTGTAATAGATGTCATCATATCGGAACTGACGTACTTAAATTCAGTCAAATAGATGGTCAATGTCCACGTGAAACGTAGAACGAAGTCTTCGATTATGGCAAAGTAGTAGAAAAACTGGAAAAACATTCAATGTATTAGATCTTATCTTTGATGCAAAATTTATAAGAAAAAATCTTCTGTAATAAAGATCAAACTTGTTATTAAGGTTAACTCAGGTTACACTTACCGTAGAAGAATATACTATTTCTTCTCTTAAAAACTTATTTTCTCCCGCATTCTTGTCCATCAGACCCCAATCCATTTTAATGTCCCAAATATAAGCGTAAGTTGAACTTACAAATTGAGCTAGAATCCACATTATATAATATGGATTATCCAATACTGAAGTGTAATCAGCTGAAAAATTAAACACAAATATAGTAGAAGTCGTAATCTCTCCTCCATTCGGCATATGACATCGTGTATTGTAATGCTTTAGCTCAAACATAAAATTAGACTTTACTTAGAAATATCTTGAAACAAATCTTACACTTATAATATCCTTTCATTGTTCCAAAAATCACCACAAAAAACGTGGTTGAATATTTGCCAGCGTTCACCAAATGTGGAAATGCTTCTCTGGAATCGTAGTACCGTCTAAGGCACTGGGCGAAACGTATCCAAGCGGGTATGCAGTTAACTAGAGGTCTGATAATGAAGTTCGTTTCGGCACAAGACGACGTATCTATATAAAATAAAATAAGTTTAAAAATTTAGAAATTAGGCCAGTCGCCAAGTATTAAAAAATAGCTTATGGCGGGAGCAATTTTATTTTGTTTAGTTTAGTGTAAGGAACCACGTGTTAAATTTGCATCACCCCAAAAGCCCGGATTTGGTCGCCATCTTGGAAAAAGTGGCTAAAATTCGGTTTATTTTTCATTATTTGTCACTAACTCGATTTCTATCAACTTTAGTGCAAAAAATGTACAGACCAAAATTAAAGACGAGGAAAACTCTATAAAAAACATTCTATGTACTTTTTCCGTGCGACGACCCGTTTCCAAGTTATCTCGGTTTAAACACGCTAAATACATTATAAGCAATTATTTCCTCTATTCTAGGCAGTTTTTGTCTTTCCGAGAACCTTACTCCTGTTGTTAAGCGGAATCTTTAACTCAATGTCACGTACGATCGCTGCTCGACTGCTGGAGACACAATTAAATAGTAGTCGTCTGTTGTTGGTTGCAGAAAGAACTTGTTGCAAACGCATCCCCAGAAGATATAGAAAAAGCTGGAGAACGATTTCTTCCTCACCTATATGGATCCAAAAAATGCGACTCATTAGATAAGTATAGATACCAGTGTTTCGTAAAATCTGTTACCAAAAGCTTACCAAACCTAGCATAATTAACCACCGACCAAATACGCAGCTCGCTTGCATTCCTTCCGTACGTACAGTCAGTTACAGCTATGGTATGGGAATGAAAAATCACCTCTGGATTGGGGATGGAAAAATTCAAAGAACGGATTGATGCCCATTGCTACTTCCCAAGATACAGCTCCCCAAGAATTATTAAATCTGATTTCATGTAAATGTGCCCAAAGGTTGTAATACATCTTGTAGTTGCCGCAAAGCAGGTTTGCGTTGCTCGGTAATATGTGCACTTTGTCAGGGCAAATCATGTTCGAATCGTTTGGAGGTGGCAAAATTAGACGAAGATGAGTCCGAGGACAACTTTCCTCTCGATAAAGATCAACGAAAAGAATATTCTGCATCTTATGAACCAGATCCGGAATATGATACAGATGTGGAAGACATTCAGGAAGATTATATTGAACAGCCAGTAACATAAAAAAAACGAAGGAACTCTAATGAACCTTCCACCTCAAAAGAAACCTAAGTTGACGACATGTGGATTAGGCCTATTGGAAATGGGGAGACCATTCAAAAAAAAAACGCGCCGCGCGCCGGGTACTTTACCTCAAAGCAGCTCCATGAGAGATAAGGCGGTTAAACTTGATTTTCCACCAGTCGCGCAACAATAAAAATTTAGTCCGTTATTGCGGTCATAATGCAAATTGCGTTCTTCCATTATGACCGCGACAGCAGGCTACTGCCAACCAGTAGCAAACAAGCTTTTAGGCTTTATGTCTCGGGGGTGCCGCTCAAGGTGGTGTGGAAACAAGTACAGTTAACCCCGGATATATTGAACACGTATAATGTACCAAATCAAACTTTAATTTGGTTTTCGTAAAATTCGAAAAGAGTTTTTCCTCTTCTTTAATTTTGGTCTCTACATATTTTGCACTAAAGTTGATAGAAATCGAGTTATTGACAAATAATGAAAAATAAACCGAATTTTAGCCAATTTTTCCAAGATGGCGGCCAAATCCGGGCTTTACGGGGAATGCAAATTTAATACGTGCTTCTCGACACAAAACTAAACAAAATAAAACTTATTCCAGCTTGTCCGGATTTGCTCCCGCCATCGATGCACTTGCCGACTGGCCTAAATGTTTCAGCAGTAAACACCAGCTACCATTGCATACATATACATACAAAATTTAGTTAATATACAACTATAGCATTGGTGCCTTCTCCGACGGTGCTGCCACCATCAGAGAATCCTGAAAAAATACAGACTTATACAAGACCGACTTATACACGAGCTTAAATAGCGAACACACGAAATGTGTATTATAATATTATTTGAAAAGTATTAGTAAGTGTAATTTGTGAGAATTTTTAAAAATTATAAGGTAAGTCTTTTGATATCATTAGAAAGTCTAACGTGTATTATTAATTATTATTCTAGCTAATTAAACTTTTTAGATGAGTAATAGCACACCGTCTACTTCAACTACGGTAGCGAGCATAGTTTTACACTGTGGTTTTACGCACAGGTTTTGCTAGTTGGGTCATAACTGAGACTATCTAGAATGTTGTTCCTGGAGAGTTGGTGACTTTATTTTTGATGGCGAATAAGATCAGATAAATCGGCGAATAAGATCAGAAATAATCAGATAAAATGATGAAAAAAGAGAGTTTCTGTTAAAGGGACTTAACTAGTTTTTTTATCTAATTTTTAACTCATATAAAATTTGAATAGGATTGGATTCATACAATATTTAACGAAACTTACCACCGGCTTCCATCCAATTTCCATTGGAGAAGTAAAAGCAGCACAAAAATTGTAGATCTAGCAATCCTACCACCAAACTATTTAACTGATCAGCTAGCCAGAAATCAGCAAAACCGACATGGAAAAATGGAGCAGCAAACATTCTTCCCTAAGAAAGTGAAAAAATCTTGCTTTCTTTAAAGTTTACAGGACATAATATATTTTTCTGAAGAATCTTAAATAATATTCTTGTATGTTTAAAGTCTCAAAATAGTTTGATTTGCTACTTAGAAATATGATACCTTTATGAAAAAACTATGGTAGGTAACTCATGCATAAACATGAATAAAGATTGAAGTCACAAATTTTCAATCAAATGACTGAAGTCATTAAAATGATTTAAATAAAAAAAACTTAAGTTTTCTGTGAGCTTTCAGCTCTGTAGGTACGTTATATTTTACAAAACTTTATTATATTTATTTATACTTACACATAATCTCATAAACCAGAACCTAGCTTCATGCCTGAACACTTTCAATGGATTCATAAGGAAGACCAGCATGATGACGACCAAGCAGAACGGATTTACATACGCCGGAATACCGAGAGCTGTACTGTATAGGAATGTTAGCAGACTAAGCGCCCAAACTACCCCAAAAATAGCTGCTAGTTCCATTAGGTGTTGCTCGGAGAGGTGGTTCCTTGGGTCTAGTTCGAAAATGAGGACGTGGTTCACACCCGACGACCGCCAACCGTAGATGTTGACACCGATCAGGAACAAAAATTCGATTACCAGCAGCGGTCCACGGTACATGCGAAAGGCGATTATGAGATTTTCGCCTCTGTACTCCTGGAATATTGCTGAAAAATATGATAATTACTTTTTAAAATAGTACAGAGTTTTGTTGTAACAATTACAATATTACTCTAGTGAACTAAGTAATACTCCTATAAAGCTAATAAAGACTTTAATCATCTCATTTATCTCTCTTACTCGCCCATTTGTATAAGGTTTTCTATTTCACAGTTTTGACAGATGACTTGTGGTATGTATCATTATCCAGAGAGAGTAAGTAAGTGCACATATTTTTCGGAGTGGTATATTTCAACCCGAGAAAGACGTCTACAAGGTTTTTTCGGGAATTTTTTTTTTGGTATATTGGTATTTTTCGAAAAGTTTACTTTTGTGTATTACTTTTTATCTATACTAATATATAAAATCCTTGACTGACTCACTGATTAATCACGATCCTGCTCAAACCACTCAACGTAAGAAGCTCAATTTTGGCATACAGGTTGATTCTAGGGTGTAGAGGTTCGATAAGAAGGGATTTTTCGAAATTCCAGTTCCAAGGGGGTGAACCACCCCTCAAATATTACAATATTTTTTATTTAAAAAACGGTCAAGTTTCCGAAAAACGCTTAAACACGTATATTTTATTTTGTTTTTTACATATTTTAAGATTTTTTAAAAATGTATACAGGGTGTTTCGAAAAATCTGGGCATTGATTAATCACGATCCTGCTTAAAGCGCTTGACGTAAAAAGCTGATTTTTGGCAAACGGATTTACTTTAGGGTGTATAGATTCGATAAGAAGGGATTTTTCGAAACACGAATTCTAAGGGGGTGAAACCACCCCTCAAATATTATAATATTTTTTATTTAAAAACCGGTGAGTTTTTCGGAAAAGCTCTTAAAACACGTATATGTTATTTTGTTATTTTAAATATTTTAAGATTTTTTAAAAATTTATACAGGGTGTTTCATAAAAAATGACCATTGAGTAATCACGATTCTGCTTAAAATGCTTGACGTTTAAAGCTGATTTTTGGCAAACGGATTGACTGTGAGGTGTAGAGGTTCGATAAGGAGGGGTTTCTCTAATCTTAAATTCCAAGAGGGTGAAAACGCTCCTCTAAGATTACAATATTTGTTATTTAAAAAACGGTTAGTCTTTCGGGAAAACGCTTGGACACGCATAATTTATTTTGTTTTTTACATATTTTGATTTTTTTTTAAAAATTATACAAGGTGTTTCAAAAAGTTGGGTAATTAAAAAACACGATTCTGCTTAAACTGCTTGACGTAAAAAGCTTATTTTTGGCAAACGGATTTTTCGAAAGTCAAATTCCAACGAGATGAAACTACCCCTCAAATATTACCAAGTTATATAATAATATCGCCATATTGTTTTTTTCTCATGCTGACATAAATGACAGTTTGTATGTTAATGGAAATTCTTACTTTGCTTTATCATCACCATTACAAATGATTAATTCGACGCGAACGAAGTCGCGGGTACACGTTAGTACTAAAATAAAACAATACAGCAATAAATAAAATTTCAATAGAAATCAATATAAACGTGCTCAGAAGTTGTTTGTGCTAGGGCATAATATAAATAGGCCCATTAATTGGCAAATACATTTTTTTTTTCTTTTATATTACAAATCTTTTAAATTTTTATTCTTTTTTTTTCTCCTTTATATAACTAACCTGAAAGTACTACTGCTATTAAAAGAACTACAAAACTGCCAGAAAATAACCCGACTTTGAATGTAGTCCATGGAGATTGTTGCTCACCTAATGGTGGTACCCTCAATCTTTTCATAGCCTGAAATAATAATTTTTGTTATCAAAAACTATACAAGGATTTTTTACCAACTTTTTGTCTGTCTCCGCCTTCTAACTCGTTGGTTACCAAACTCTCTGTTTCTGTTATTAAGTTGTCTATATCTTTGTTGGTGTTGAAATGAGAAGTTTCCACGTGTTCCTCTCTCCATTTTGCACCCAAATCTGTATTAAGCAGCTAAAAAATGTTCAGTATAATGTTATTAGTCACAACAAGTTAATCGCTGAATCCAAATAATAATGAAATAGCGTTGAAAAAAGAAAATGTTTACTAGGTTTATTTCTTTGCTGAAAAGTATTTTTATACTCTTTATCTCTATTAAATTTAGCTCTGAGTAAAAGATGCATTTCGAACTACTATTGACATGTTTTTAGTAACACCCAAAGTTTCTGTGAATTCCTATTTCTAGCCGTTTTTAGATGAATAATGAAAATTTAACTTTTCTTTTGGCAAAGGTTTTGTTTGTATAACAAAAGGTTTCTTAAGAGAGAAAAGAATTTTCAAGAAATCAAGAAAAGATGGTTTAAAAGTTTAGAACTTCATATTCTATTATGTTGTTGCTACATTTTTTTTATGACGCGAGCTGTATTAGACATATCTTACATTTTGGATACATATACCGATTTGGTCATTTTAGAAGCGTGATCTGGATTTTAACGCGTAAGACAGTGATGTAGGCAGCTTAGTGGGAAATCAAATGTATTAAAAAGAGATAAAAGTTGGGTTGATACATTTATTCTATGCGGTATTGCCGGATTTTGCATCAAAAGTTCAAACCGCACAAGTAGGCGTTTATGGAAAATGTTGCGTCTAGGGTTGGAACCTTATTTTTCACAATTAGTTGCTCATTTTACTACAGATGTAATAGATTATATTTAGCTTAGATATATTATCTTCATTTCAGTAGTATACGTGAAAGTTTTTAAAATAGTTTTTTTACACAAATATTCCTACAAACCAAAAACCGGCAACACTGTATGCTGCTTTTGATTTTGTCTCTCTGTCTGTCAACCGGTCATTTATATTATTCTCTGTCTTACACGTTAAAATCCAGAATGTTCTATTCAGAGTATCGTTTTCTATCGAATAGAGTAAAAAAACCGAGGGTGCTATTTAAAAAACAAAAGTTGTCATCATTTCCGGTGAAACAGGAAGTCACCGAAAACAATTGAAGGGTCCAGGGGAAAAACTTGATAAGCGATTTTACAATATTATAGTAGGTCTAACTGGTCCCTACAAATTGTATAAACTCTGCAGGGCAATAAGTTGTTAAATCCTATGATATATGCCTAGTAAAAATATAGAATACACGGAAAGAACCTGATAATCGCCAGCCGTCCGGTGCTCTACTGTAAAATTAATAAAATGGCGCTTATCATATTATTCCCCTGGACCCTTCAATTGAATGCATCAATCAATCTTAATTTATGTCATATACTGACATACCACATCTCGTTTTTATCTGAAAAAATAAAAAAAGTTATAGGGGTGAGCCACTTTTGAGAACGCACCCGGTATATGTATGTGGAACACCCTATACAGGGTAGCGCACCTCATTCGCCTCGGTTGATTATACGAAAACGGAAAGATGTAGAAACATAATTTTTTATGGGTATATGTAGAGAGGCAATGTGCATAATTTAAAATGATTTTCAAATGTACAGGGTGTGTCAGAACTAAGATCCATACCAAAGTTATATTTTTTCTTATGGAACACCCGGTATTTTATTTCATTTTTGGATTCTTGGACATAAAATAAGGCATTTATTATAAGGGTTTAATATGTTTAAAAGCTTTGGTTTTTGAGATATTTAAATATGCATGCTATAATAAAAAAGTATGTCAACACCCTGTACATTACTTTCAGAGTGAATTCTAGTGCTGATTTTGAAGCCAGGGAAATAATCTTTACTAAAAAAATGTATTGCTTCCTTAAATGTATACAGGGGTATCAAAAATTGCTGGTCTATTTTAAATATTTATTTTACAATAAAAACTTCGTTATTTCAAATACAACACCCTGTATTTTTTAAAATAAATCGAAGCAGATTTAAATGCTCTTTTAAACTATATTAGGGTTTCCTATACCTATCTAGCTCAGATTTTGAATAAAAAGCAATTTTTCAATAAAATGGCAATTTGCTAGGGACAGTTAGTAGCTATTTTCAAAATCGTCATTAGTTTATGGACTTTATTTAAATTTATAACAGTTTACTTTTATTTAATTTACCTACAATAGTTTAATAAATAAGTATTTATTATTTTATCAAGAAAAATAAAGAAGTAGTTCTTTTTGATTTATATTACGATGACTTTTCTGCCTAATATTCATATATAGGTGATACGATGACAGATTTCTGCCTAATATTCATATACCACCAGCTCTGCGAAATAGGAAAAGTTGTTTTTCAAAGGAACGCTTGTCAAAAAAATTCCTATTTGGATATCTTTGAGCATAAACAAACCCTTCTAACAGCTAACAAGCAATTGTCCTCACAAAATAAAATCACTAGTAACATATCCATTCCTTCCGTCAGCATATACCGCTTCATTTTCCTTGACAAAATAATAAATACTTGTTTATTAAATTTATTGTAGGTAAATTAAATAAAAATAACCTGTTATAAATTTAAATAAAGTCCACAAACTAATGTCGATTTTCAAAATAGCTACTAAGTGTCACTAGAAAATTGCCATGGCGACACCTGCCAACTTGATTACAATTTTATTGAAAAATCGCTTTTTATTCAAAATCTGAGCCAAATAGGTATAGGAAACCCTAATATAGTTTGAAAGAGCATTTAAATTTGCTTCGACTTATTTAAAAAAAATACAGTGTTGCATTTGAAATAACGAAGTTTTTATGTAAAATAAATATTTAAAATAGACCAACAATTTTTGATACCCCTGTATACATTTAAGGAAGCAATCAAGTTTATTAGTAAAGTTTATTTCTCTGGCTTGAAAGTCAGCACAAGAATTAATTCTAAAAAGTAATGTACGAGGTGTTGACAAACTTTTTTATTATAGCATGCATATTTAAATATCTTTAAATATCCCAAAAACCAAAGCTTTTAAACATTTTAAACCCTTGTAATGCCTTATTGTATGCACAAGAATCCCAAAATGAAATAAAATACCGGGTGTTCCATAAGAAAAAACATAACTTTGGTATAGATCTTAGTTCTGACACACCCTGTACATTTCAAAATAATTTTAAATTATGCACATTGCCTTCTCACTATACCCATAAAATATTTTGTTTCTACATCTTTCCGTTTTCGTATAATCAACCGAGGCGAATGAGGTGCGCCACCCTGTATATTAATTTTCGCATTCTAGGAAAAAAAAATAAAGGTGGGGTTCATTAGAGACGCATAATATGACTAAAATGTAAAATTTTTTTAATATTAAGAAATATTTAACATTTTTTTTTAAATGAAGAACAAATTTTAAATTTTAATAAAAACTACCTAAATTGGAATTTACCTGGTATCTATACTAATTACTAATATATAAAATTCTTAAGTGACTGACATACTGATTAATCACGATCCTGCTCAAACCACTCAACGTAAGAAGCTCAATTTTGGCATACAGGTTGACTCTAGGGTGTAGAAGTTCGATAAGAAGGGATTTTTCGAAATTCCAGTTCCAAGAGGGTGAAACCACCCCTCAAATATTACAATATTTTTTATTTAAAAAACGGTTTAAAACGTTAAAAAAAAAGTTTCCGAAAAAACGCTTAAAACGTATATTTTATTTTGTTTTTTTACATATTTTAAGATTTTTTAAAAATGTATACAGGGCGTTTCGAAAAATCTGGTCATTGATTAATCACGATCCTGCTTAAAGCGCTTGACGTAAAAAGCTGATTTTTGGAAAACAGATTGACTTTAGGGTGTAGTTCGATAAGAAGGGATTTTTCGAAACTCGAATTCTAAGGGGGTGAAACTATCCCTCAAATATTAAAATATTTTTTTATTTAAAAACAGGTGAGTTTTTCGGAAAAACTCTTAAACAGGTATATTTTATTTTGTTGTTTTACATATTTTAAGATTTTTTATAAATTTATACAGGGTGTTTCATAAAATATGACCATTGAGTAATCACGATTCTGCTTAAACTGCTTGACGTTTAAAGCTGATTTTTGGTAAACGGATTGACTGTGGGGTGTAGAGGTTTGATAAGGGTTTCTCGAATCTCAAATTCCAAGAGGGTGAAAACGCCCCTCAAATATTACAATATTTGTTATTTAAAAAACGGTTAGTCTTTCGGGAAAACGCTTGGACAAGCATAATTTATTTGGTTTTTTTACATATTTTGAAATTTTTTAAAAATCATACAGAGTGTTCCAAAAAGTTGGGTAATTTCTTAACCACGATTCTGCTTAAACTGCTTGACGTAAAAAGCTTATTTTTGGCAAACGGATTTTTCAAAAGTCAAATTCCAACGAGATGAAACTACCCCTCAAATATTACCAAGTTATATAATAATATCGCCATATTGTTTTTTCTCATGCTGACATAAATGTGAGAAAATTTTATCCAGTTTGTATGATAATGGAAATTCTTGCTTTGCTTTATCATCACCATTACACATGATTAATTCGACGCGAACGAAGTCGCTGGTACACGCTAGTAGCCTAATAAGTATTTAAAATAACCATTGTACTTTAAATCAAATTAAACCTTTATCCGAAACGTTATACAGGGTGAGACAAAATTAATATTGAATATTGGTCTCTTAAAAGCAAGTGATTCTTTTATTTTAAATGGAAAACCCAGTATATTATTTGGATATTCAATGGAAATGGAAATTCCAGTGGAAATTCCAAATCTTTCACTGGAAATTCAATAAATCTCTTCAAAATACTATTAAGGTTGCGTATTTATTAGGCAAAGGTTTTCCTAGATATTGTCATTTTTATGATTTAGTGTCAGTAGATCTTTATTATTTGATGAAATCTTGGTAGGTGTGATATGTCTCGTTATTAAGGATATAGAGTAAAATATTACAACAGTAATAAAATCGTAGACATTTAAAACAAATTTTAATTATTGCAAAACTAGAACTATATAGATACGTAAACGTATAATTATGTGAAAAAAATAGCTAAATTAAATAAAATGCAAAAAAAATGTTCAATGTCAAAAGATCTTTCTCATTAAGAGACATTTGTGAAATTATTCTTCGAAACGTAGCCACAATCCTGCTTTCTCTCATGTTGTCGACAGTAGAGGTCGAGTTTTGTAAACACTGTCTTTAATATATTCCCATAAAAAATGTCCAAACTAGATAAATCATGAGCATTCAAACATTCTATTGCACGCATTCCCCAAATATTAGAATCATATCTCTCTGCTGTAGAATGTAGAATGTTTAGGAGGGAGGTTAATCACCGCGATCTTACAGATCTATTGTGTGTTAACCTTTCTTGAGTTATAACAGGTTATAACTCATTATATAGTCTCAGGGCTTTGACAAAAGCCAGTATCTGAGACGGCTCCAGAGAGAGCTCTCCATGTTTGACATCAGCAGTACCAAAGTTTATGGCACGAATGGTTGTCGTCTCAGCGCACTTAGTGATAAAGTGTTCTGGTGTTTCCCCATTTTTTCCATAGCTTCAATCTACTGAGGTGTTCGTTGAGGAGACAGTGTCCTGTTAGAAACCCCGTAACAATCCGAAGATTGTTCTTATATAAATATGTAATCTACTGTAAGATAAGATTCTATTTTCGGTAAATTTGTGAGAATTTCTTTCAATTCAACTGTTTCAAGTTTGAATTAATAACCTAACCTAACCTAACACTAAATCATAAAAATAAAAATATTTAGGAAAATCTTTATTTGAGAGGTAGCCTTAATAGCATTTTGAAGAGCCATGAATTTCCTATTGGATATCTGAAGTATATACTGGGCATTCCATTTAAAATGTAAAAGTAATTTTCTATTATCAGTGATCATTATTCAGTACTAATTTTAAATTATGCCGATATTTTTAACATTTATAATCAATATTTCTTTTATTTGCATTACCTTAAAATAAATTAAAAATCGCTGAATTACAAGCCTAGATTATCTTACAAATTGGCAATAACTAAAATTAGATATGTGTTTCAAAAATATAAACCCAAAGTAATATTGATCTTGATTTACCACTTGTCAACTTTGTTTTGGCAGACAGCCCTAAACAGCATTCAGCAGACAGCCCTAAACAAAGTTGACAAGTGGTGCAAACCATAAAATAATTAACTAGAAAGAAGTGTCAACTCTGTGTTAAATCGTGGAAACACGATACGCCACCGAAAGCCTTCGTTGTCGTCTGGAGAACTAATTTTCCAATTGACAGGTTGACATGATAAGGCACATGATGGCTTAATTTTCATTTCCGTTTCCGGTTATTCAATGGCGGGCCCTCTTTCAGTTCAAATGTATTTTGTATTTTTTCTTTTCATAAATAAAACCAAAAAATAATTTATTCACATATATTTATTTGAAATATGGAATAACGTGACTAAATAAATATAAAAATATAGAGGATTGTATTGTTTCAATACCAATTAGTTAATTATATGTACTTTTAACGTAAATTAGTTAAGGTATAAGCATGACTTACAGTAATTTGTAAAATAAACACGTATTCGCAGACTTCAAGAACAGAAAACGGACACAGGAACATGAAAACGGGAGCCTTATACAAAAACCTGAAAACAGAAAACAAATTTTTATACTAAAATTAACAATGTAAAAATATCAATAGGTATAAAATATAAATATACTGTTTAAAAAAGCGTCCATTATTCCCAAAGAGACCTGGCTTATGAATCAAAAAGAAGCAAAAAGAGACTTTTAGTCGGATAATATAATCAGATTATCAGTCCGATTTATTACATTATTGACAATAAATCGCACATACTGGAGATAACTAAAGTTGGCAATAGTTAAAAATGATCTTACCTTGCTGTAAATTGTTTCCATTTTCAAAAAAATCGCCGATCAAAGAGATTATAACACCATTTTCTTGCATCTAAAAAAATGTAAAACAGTGTTTATTTACTACCTATTTTTCATATACATGGGACATACCTACTACTGCAGAAACGTCATTTTTCTCCACGATTCTTCATGTAATATATATTTTATATACTTTATTACCTTTATATTTATAAATTTCAGCCGAAATATTAAATTGAACTTCCAAAACGAAACTAAACGGAATGAATTAAAATGGCGTCGAATATTTTCGAATTTGTTCTAGAACAAATCTGAAGTTGTCTCTGAAACTGAAATCTGTCAATTCTAAACTGTGAAGTTAGACAATAGTTAGACAAAAACAATGCTGTCCTTGTCTAGGCGGCCATACTTGTCGTGAGGAGAATGACAAGAATGACACTAATGACTGTTTCCAATTTTCCTATTTCACTGTCACCCCCCTGGTGCAAACAAGAGAGACTGACAGTGAATGCTCAGAAAACACAAATTGTCAATTTTACAAAAAAGATAGCACCAAAAGGCCTAAAACCACCAGTGCTAGGAGAAACGGAGATTTCATTTGCCAAAGAAACAAAGTATCTTGGGATATTTTTTGATCAAAGGCTTACATGGAATACTCACATAGCGAAAGCAACACAGAGGGCTGCCATCTCTTTAGGTAGGTGCAGAAGGATGTGTGGAAAAAACTGGGGACTTAACCCTAAAATGACTCTATGGCTATACACAAGGGTAGTAAGACCCATGATAACCTACGGGTCGGTGGCGTGGTGGACAAAGACATCGCAAGTGGGTGCGGTAAGGCTGTTAAGTTCCACACAAAGGCTTGCGTGTCTGTGTGTAACTGGGGCCATAAAAACCACTCCTACAAATGCGATGGAAGTCTTGTTGAACTTACCACCACTACATATTTTCATACAAGGCGAAGCCAGATCTGTCATGCACAGGTTAATTCACGGTCAGCAGCACATAAGCCAAACGCATAGTGCTGCAAACCAGAAGCTAATCGAAGAGCTAAAAGCAGACAAAGTATTGGGATTACCAATTGATGCAACAGCTACTAGGTATAGCTTCAACAACAAATTTAATATAACCATACCAGGAAGGGAAGACTGGAGTAAAGGTGTACCCATTCAAGCTGAGGCAACCTGGTATACAGACGGCTCAAAAACGTCAGAAGGCGTAGGAGCTGGAATAGTAGGGCCGAAACAAGGGAGATCCTTCCACGTAAGCCTATCCAAGGATGTCACAATTTTCCAGGCAGAAATAACGGCAATCCACTATTGTGTAGAAGAAATAATAAGGCAACAAAGAACAAATCGTTCTGTGGCGATCTTCACAGACAGCCAAGCGGCGCTAAAGGCACTCAGCTCCACGGAGGTCAATTCTAGACTAGTGGGGGACTGTGTGCGTGCTCTGAATACTTTGGGCGAACGTAGCACTGTTACGTTGGCCTGGGTGCCAGGGAACGAGGGTCACAAGTGTAACGAAAAGGCAGATGAAAGGGCCAAGCAAGGCTCATCAATGCCATTCATAGGCCCAGAACCCTTCTGCGGCGTTGCAAAGGCGGTCATGAGAATGGCCACGGAGCGATGGGTGGCCAACAAATCTCTAGAATGGTGGATAAACTCACCAGGGCAGACAGGCGAAAAGGTTCATTGTAGAACGTTCGCCAAAATTCACGGTAGACTTGATAAGCAAGGACAGAAAGACAGTCAAAGCTGTAGTAGGTCTACTAACAGGGCATTGTAAGCTAAATAGGCATCTAAAGCTGATGGGATTGACAGACGAAACTATGTGTAGGTTCTGCCAATCTGAAGAAGAAACGTCAGAACACATTTTATGTCGGTGTGACAGCCTGGCAAATGTGCGGTTCCCGGTAATAGGCAATGATAGGCCATTGCCAAGGAGCTACATGGAGGGTTCAGTCTCCAAGTTGCTAAACTTTGTGAAAATGATAGGACTGGAGAATGTAATCTAAGGATCAGAAGAGGACCACAATAGATCTGAGAAGGTCGCAGTGGATCAGGCCGAAAGCCACCTCTAAGAATCTAATCTAATCTAATATATGATCTTTTTAAGCGGAGATTAAAAAATTGAAAAATTCCTTGTGTGGTAAATAAAATACTTTGCAAACTTAAATGTAAAATATTGATTCAAAGAGATTTAATATCAACGCCTATACGTATATTCTGGGATTTATAATCAGATTAATTAAATAGATAATACGAATCGGCAAATAAAACTTTAAATCATTTAAAAATATGTAGAGTTTACTTATTAGAATTATAGCCGACAATAATCAACATAATTAAGGAGCTTAATAATTAAAGGTGACTGACTATTTACATTTGCTAACGTTACCTTATCGTGTTTTTTAAGTATCTTGCGAAACCCCGTGTTGTTTAACGTTTGATAATTCTGCAACAGGATCAGGCTGAGATAAAATTCGCTGAAAGCCAATTTCAGATCTTGGAGTTTCCTGACCGGGATTTTTTTCTTGTCTCGTTTTATACCTAGAATAAAATTGTTTCGTCGGATATACTCGTAGATATTAAAGTTCGTAGCAGGAACATAAAACATAAAAGTGCTTATATTTATGTTCCTAACAGGAACAAAAAATGCGGCCTCGGTCTTGCATTTTTTCCACGTTTATATGATATAAGAGATTATTTTTTATTCAGAATTATTGTTTTAACTCATTACAAGTAGAATTTTTCCGATAATTGTATAAAATGTTAAAGAATGAAATGCCTGATTCAATATAATATATTGAAAACTGTCTGTGAAAGACTAAGCCTAAGGGAGTCTTGGTCTTGTTCTTGTATTCGCTCATCAGCAAGTGTCATTATAAGGTATACCGAAATGATGCCGATTTTGTTAAAAAAATAAATGATATGCTATAATTTTTATAATGAAATTTATATTCTAGATGATGGCGTCTGGAATATATCCATATCACCATATCTCTCGAATCCAAACATCGTATTGGAAAGTTAACCTTGCCGTTTTGTAGAAAAGAAAAAATGATTGGTAAGTAATTATTTTCCTCTCTCATATCAGTTAAAAATTTGTAGGAAAACAAAAAAAAACAGTATTCCAGGCATTGATTGGTCATATACTAGCCCATCAGTCTAAGAAATGTATTTTTTATCTTTTGATTGCTTTTCTAAAAATGCCTTTCTTCAAAAGACAAAAACGCTGCTAAGTTAATCTAATAACACTTTGACGTTTATACTATTACGTCATGGTACAAAGAAAACAAGGTATGATCGATAGCGGCTCCAATTTCATTAAGTTTGCGCATACCACCTGTGACGTCATACGCCATACAAAAAAATATCCATATTGTTCAATTGCCACTAAAGACCTAAAATAGGGAAGAATTAGGACATAACCCCAAAAGTTATGTTTTGACATCGAGCTTGACATTTGAAAAATTATTTTCACATTTTGTCACAATCAAATTTCACAGATGACACAATCTATTTGACAATTTGAAATTGGCGCGCAGAGCTTGCCGACCAATGGTACCGTTTATCACCTGTGACCTAGTGACTAACCTGCGCAATATCATACCTTGTATTCTTTGTATCATGCTATTACGTCAAAAGCAACTTTTTTCCAAAACCTATCATGACTTCACTGAGGCGACGGCGTCGCGTCGTTTCTTATTCACTGTCATTGATATCTTAATTATTAGATATTAATACATCTGGTATTATGGTATTGTGGTATATTGTCGATTTTAGATTAAACCGATCGTTTTTATCTTATTTTTTATTAGAATGGTCATAATCAAGAGGGCTACTGTAACCGTGTTATAAAAATTAAGTAATTAAGGGCTTATTTTTTCGTATTTATTATAATTTTGCTAATATCTTCGGTTTGAAATAAGATATCAAGATGCGGTTTTCGCTGACTTATTAAGTTTTTATTATCACATTTAATTTTTTTGAAAAAAACGCGCAATGTTTGTTAAATTGTAAGACAGCGCCCCCTAGCGTCCACATTCAAAAGCTTATTATTATTGTTTATACTGTGTAATATATAGTCAGAAACGCTCTTTTAAACGAGCCCCCGTTTGTTGGATTCCGTTGATCCAGTCCGGAGTTATTAATATTTAAACAAAAACAGATATAACCTTCCCCCACCACTTTATTTTAGCAGATAGGCGAAAATGGTTCTGACAAAAAATATCCAGAATTTACTGAAGATTGTGAAGTTATTATAGTACACCTTATCTAGGCAAAACTTCGTAAACATTCCATTTTCTTATTTTCCATAGCAGTTACGCCCTCTAGCGGCAGTTCTACAAATTTAAAAATAATTTCCAGCAATTTCTCATGGTCTCTTTAGTGACAAATATTTTTTTCCGCAAGCCCTACGACTAATACTTTCCGAGATACAGCCGAGAGCTATTCTTAGTGGGACACCCTGTACATACATACAGAATGTTTAGTATTTTATACATCAAGAGTTTGAATGTAGGTATAATTAGTCAATTGTAGTTTGTAGTATAGCACATACAAATTGAGAGTCTCAAACTAATCCAACTGATTTTAGAATCAAGCGACATCTTTCATTGGTAAATCAAAAGTACTGTAGAACGCCATCTCTCGCCCGTGGACCGAAACACCGTGAATGAAATGTAGTTCAGCAACATATATTATATTCTAGAGCTTAATAGACAAAAAAAGGCATAGGTTTTCAAAAATGTATGAGTATAGATTCTATAATTTAGAAGCATAACAAAACACGAACCCATCTTTAAGTTGTCCAGCGAATCTTTCAGTTCGCTTTTCAGCGTGGCGAATTTTCTAGTAGCCTCTGCCAGTTTTTCTGCATAGAAAGTGTTGATTTTCTTCAATTCTTTGTCGCAATAGAGGAAAAACTGTTCGTCGAAATTGGCGAAATGCTTGCGAACGTCTTCGGCGTCGACAGTTTCGGAGGATGGGGCCTGTTCCACGGTCATGTACAACATTGCCTTCATTTCCTAAAAAAGTAAATAAAGACTAATTATTTCATATATATATATATATATATATATATATATATATATATATATATATATATATATATATATATATATATATATATATATATATATATATATATATATATATATATATATATATATATATATATATATATATATATATATATATATATATATATATATATATATATATATATTAAATATATTGTCCTCAATAAAGTATTAGTATTACAGGCCTCAGTGGCTATAATGGAGGCCCCGTCTCATAGCGAGACAGATCTAAATATTTTCTGTCATGAGGATAAGTGTGATGCAGAACTTCTTCCAAATAATTACAATTTGTAATTTGTCTAAATAGATAATGTCTTTTACAATTAATCGAAAAATCTCATCTATAAGTTGAAATGAAACTAAAAATACAGGGATTCTTCACGTAAAAATAAAATTTATTTTTCATATTAACGTGAGTTCGATTCTGCTTTGTTTTATAGCTACAGGGTGGCAAAGTCTTAATATTTTTTCGATTTATTATAATATTCTTCCAAGGACTTTTAGCGTTTCGAATGAAATTTTGAGGGTAAGAGTTACTACAAATGCGACATATTATAAAATTAAAAAAGTGTCGACATATTCATCAGGGACGTGCATATAGGTTATCACTGCAATATTTTTCTAAAAAAGTATGTACGCCACTGATTTTTTTCTCTTGCTAGCGAATTAGTGTAAGCAGTTTAATGCCAATTAAAAGTTGTCTCTTGATATTTTGTCGATTTCGACCTCCTTGATGAGATAAACGCAATTTATTAATTTGCTTTGATCCACGTCTAATAGCAACCTTTAAGAAATTTTAATATCATTAACTTCCGAAAATTTTTTATTAAGTACTCATTGATTCCTCATCAAAAAATATAAAAAAAGTTCTAAACATGGGTATGGAAATGCATAGTTTTAGTTAAATGATGTTAAAATTTTTGTAATTTTTTCTTTATGTCTTTTGAATCACCCTGTATAATAACACATTTTATTGAAGAACACTAAAAAACTCCAATGTAGAAAAAGATCACCCTGTATATTTCTGTATAGAGCTAGGATTATGTGTATATTAAGTTGCCTATTGGTCAAAAACTATTAAATAATAAGGGTTTCAATCAGTTTTGTGATTATATTATAACCATAATCAATTGTGTTCTATAAAATACACAGTATAGTCAATAAAATATAATTTATATTATGAAACGCTTACAATTTACCCAATTTTCACTAGGTGTATAATATTTTTATAAATACTATTCGCAAATAAAAGAAACTTTCATAGATTTTATTAACTCTGATGAATTATAGTGATTTATATTTACTACTGGATAAAAATTGCCTAAAAACAAAATTAATAGGTTCGAAATTAGTTTATTCTGAAGCAAAATATATACTTTTAAAAAATATATGCAGGCATTTATGAAAGCCTTTTTGGTGCCCATCTCTAAAATCATATGATCTTGTTGTCATGTTGTCAAACTTTTTCCTAACCCTACTTGATTTTTATAATAATTTCTGTTCCAAAGTTTTTGCAATAGAAATAATTTAATTCTAGGTATTTCTATGAACGATTTTTCAGTCACGAATGAATTTCTTACCTCGTAATTGATGTATTGTTTGCGCCATTCTGGTGTTATATGCGCTGATAAATGTTCAGCGAATTTCATATTTGTATGAAAAAACTGAACTTTTAACGAAACTATCACAAATCACAACACAACGAAACAAAATGCTATATCGCAGATATGAAACTTCATCGAGTTCTATTACCACTTCTCAGATTTAGCATAATAAAAAGCGCAAATAATCAAACATATTTACAATCTCAAGTACTGCCTTGCATCGTCACTTTATCTCTGCGCCATTGAAACAAATAAATCAAGCCTTTGCCTGTTAGAATTTTATATTTTCAGATGATAAAATTCATAATTGTTAATCGTAGCGTAAAATTAATAATTTTAACACATCGAAAATCAAAATAAGGAATGAAGAGTAATAAAACATAATCGTAATTAGTGATTTTATTATCTTTACTTGACGTATTAAAGATTATTGTGCAAACAAATGTATTTTCGAATACTGAAGGCGCTCGTATAATTCTAAATTATATATCAAACAAGAACTCATGATAAAAGTTTTACTGGTTTTATTGCTATATTGTTTTTTGATTGCCATCATTGTGAGATACCGAAAATATCGGTATTTTTCCCGGAACTTTATTTTAGATCCAACTTATTCTGCGCTTTCCTATGGTGTTCCTACGATTTGTATGAAGCAAGTATTTTATTACATTCTGTAAGATAGTAATTATTTTATGAGTATGTTGAGTAATTCTATTTTATAGTTTTTATCATTTTTATATTATATGTATAGGTGGATGGATCCACGATGGATCATATCTTATAATTAAGAGAGACCCGACAGGGGTCATAGGCCAGGCTACAGATAGTATCTGTATAGACAAAGAGCCAAGCTTTTATGCAAAAGAAGAATACATTTTTACTAATCCAACCTAGAAAATAGCTGTCATTACTGTCAAGTCAAAGCAGGAAAAAGGGGAAAAAGGCTTTTCGAGTTTTACGTAACTTCCCGAATTTTAGTGGCAAAACTATTTTTTAAATAATTAATTCATCACAATGAGCGCCTGGAGACAAGCTGGTTTAAAGTACGTATAATCTATAATTCTCGCTTGATGAGTTTAGTGGTGTTTATTAAATTTATGATTACATAAGAGCTTGTATTACATAGCAGAAGTACTATTAAACAATTGAGCCTTCGCATTACTTTAGGACGTGATAAGTAACAACTTTTGTTACAGCTACATCAATTACTCAAACATTGCCGCCAGGCTTCTTAGACAAGCCCTAAAATCAGATCTAAAAGCTGATGCTTTGAAGAGGAACGACAGCAATATTAAAATTACAAAATGGGAAGGTGGAAAACCAATCAGTAAGTAAAAAAAATAAAAATTATATTAATTTAGGTGTATAGAAGAGATTTAAATATTGTTATCTATGATTACAGATGCTAAAGAATAAATCAGCAATATGTAAGTTAAGATTCTTGAATTGTTTGAGAATTGCATTGAAATTGCTTTTGCCATATCTAATGTTTGATAGTGTGGTTTTTTATTTTAACATGACTCTTCTTTTTCATTGGAGTTATTAATTAACTAACACTTTTTTGTATTATTTTTCAGAGTCCTCTGAATATTAAACAGTCATGAAGATTCATAAGAGTAAGCAGACTTTTTTTAAGTGTTAAATGTATATTAGATAAATATGTAATAAATATTAATTTCCGAAAAATAAATAAGGAATTTATTTATAAAATGTATAAAGTATCTTCATAATCATAACCTTTAACAACCCTATAATAAAATACTATTTTGGTAGGCCATTTTCTTGTAATAAATGCTCATTGGAACTAGTAAGTAATCTAGGACCTTCCCCTACTTTAGTACAAATAAGGTATTTTAATACTCCTTCATTGTTCTGTGTTAAGTTTAAATCATCCATTAATTCCTGAAAGTCAAAAATTAATTTATCAATTTCTAACTAATTACCTTTTATTTACCTTTTTAATTATAGTTTGGTCTAAAGGGAGGCCCTTAAAGTAATCATTAGCCTTAATGTCCATTGGTTTTGGAAATATATAATTAACTATACTTAGAAATTCTTGTAAAACAGATTCTAGTAAGTAAATACATGCATTTGGTCCTGCATCAAATGTATAAGCGACCTGGAATAAAGTCATTATTATAATTGTCTAGAGAAAAGGAAATCTCTAGTCACCTTATTCTCTTCTTTATAAGTGTTATAATGGTGAACTAAATTTACTATAGCATGAGACACATCATTCATATAGATGCAAGGAGGATATGTATCCAAGCAAATTGCATGAAACTGATTAGAATCCTTCATTGTAATCTCAGCAAATTTGTGAAAGTTTCTCTCCAGTATAGCTTTATTTATTTCTTCAATTCTTTGTGGTATAACACTTTCAGATCTATAACGAATTAAAGTGGAAGTTTCAACAGAATGGTTCATTCCAATGGTTGAACCATATTTCTTTTGGTTATCATTCACAACCAGTACTAGCACCCTCATTTCTGGCCAATGTGATGCCGAAGCTATAGGTCTTGCTATAGAATCTTCACCAGATGATAAAATACCTTTTTGCCACCTGACCCATCCCCCATATACACTTCTACAAGCACTTCCTGAACCCAATCTTGCGATATCAGAGATTTCTCCATCAATTTCGTAGAGAGCTGCCAAAGCGTACACTAAGCAGGCATACCCAGCTGCAGAAGAAGCTAAACCTGCTGCTGTTGGGAAGTTATTTTCAGAACAAATAGCAATTTTCCAATTTATATAAGGAAGTGTACTATTACATCGTTTTTTAACTAAAAAAATAATTAAAATTAAAGCAAATATATATTTATTATAGTTCAACTTACTCTCTGTTAAACAATTTTTCAATCGGACATTATCAAATGATTGTTCTTTACCGTTTAGCCAAAATTTGTTTTCTTTAAGATCGGGGCTGGTAAGGATAGTTGTTTTAGCACACATCTAAAATATTAAAAATTAAAACTATAGTTTATCTAGCTTAATTGAAATAGTATCACTTACAACATCAGTACTGAGTGTAGCACTTAGTGAATCATTAATCGGAAGTATTAGTTTCTCGTCTCGTTTACCCCCTAACAAATTAATTTTAAGAAACATTAGTGTTGAATTGAGTAAAAAAGTAGGACACCAATAATACTTACAATATTTTATCACAGCGATATTTACTGGGGCTACAGCTGTGACAATTTTCATTTTAAGATATCTAAATAAACCTCAAGCAATAGTTTACTTACTGAACTTTGTAAAAAGTACTTATATACGATAAGTTATCTTACATTGGTCTCTTTAAAGTTTGCTATTTTACAACACAAAAGGCAGCCTGACCCTATTACTTATGAATAAATCATTTTACCGCAGTTTTACTTTACTGTGATTTTACCGTTAAAAACATATACAAACTAGTTAAAAATTCATACATACGAAAAACGAGAGGTTATTTAATTTATTTTTGACGCAACCACAGACGACAAATGAGGGAAAAAATTGCCGCAGAGTAATAATTTGAGAGAGTACGTAAATTTGAACGTTTTTCAAAAGTTTTTAGGTTGTTTTTCAATTTTTTTACCAAACATTATTATATTGTTGTACAGACAAAAGATAATTTGTATTTATTGAAGAGATATATTTGAACAATATTGTGAATTAAAAGTGAATTCCAGATAATGTTTAGGTAAATGCATTTTTTACTATTTAACTAGATTGCTACTCATTAAGTTAATAAGTTAAATTAACTTAGCATGTCATAAAATTTAATTCAAGATAATATGTAGTAAAAGTCTCTCAATAATAATTAACACACGCACACAGAGATTTAAGAAATAAGAATGCATATTAAATAATAAGCGGTTCTAAATATTATTTTAGATATTTACTTTTCATACGAATCCACTTCAAGTAGTTTTTTTTTTAATATTTTTTAAAATGAACCATATTTCGAAATGAAAAAATTGACGTCCTAAACAATTTTTCCCATATACTATGTCCAAATTTCCAAATGGCATAAAAAAACGCGCGCTCTATTTGAAGATATTCTAATTTTATTCTTACTTTATTTATTCTGATTATGTAATAAAAATACATAATATACCGGATACCGGGTGCGTCTCAAAAGTGGCTCATCCCTATAACTTTTTTATTTTTTCAGATAAAAAAACGAGATTTGGTATGTTAGTATATGACATAAATTACGATTGATTAACGTATTCATTTGTTTTTGGTCACTTCCTGTTTCACCGGAAATGACTACAACTTTTGATTTTTAAATGGCACCCTCCGTATTTTTTTGCTTTATTAGATAGAAAATGACATTTTAAATAGAATGACACATCATATGTCAACTTTTGACTTTCTCGCTTAATAAAAAAATATATTTTAAAATTCAATCTAGAGTGCCATGGCTACAGGGCCGGCGGAAGGGAAGGGCGACCCGGGCGGCCCCCCGGGGCGCCGCGCCGGTTACTATAGGGGCGCCACAACAGCAACTAAAATATTTAAAAACAGTAATCTAAACAAATAGTAATGAATATCCAGTTCAATAATTAATCGGTACTGTCAATTTCCACATTAACACATTAGCTATTACCACACCACATAGGGAAGAATATCTGACTAAACATTATAAACACTATACTGTATCCTAGATGTATCCTATTATAGTTTACTGAAATTATGCTCAAAAAAATTCTTAGCTTGAAAGCTTTGGGATAGTTTTGATTTCTTCTATTCTATATGTTTTTTGAGTGCTCTATCCGAAACTGGGATTTGCGAATTCATTTTCGTGGAAGAACATTAAACAAAATTAAATAAAAAAATATAAATCGGATTTGTTCGTGGCATTTTTATAACTCAAAAGCTAGCAACTTTTTGTAAATAATCCTTCTTTCTATAATTCTCGTTTTTATAAATTTCCGAGTAAATTTCTAAACAAACTGTTTTGGGTCAAGAGCCAGCAAAATTAACAGTTTTAGACTGACCGCTCAAAATTGCACTTTTTCTACTACACACCCTTTATTTGTTATTAATGGCTGATATGCCCTAAAGTTATATGCGGCAAATATTCATTCGCAAGAAGCTGAAGAGGATCCCGATATCATTATTATCAAAAAAAAAACTTATAAGTTTGCCTCATTAATTAAATTAATTTATTAATAGTAGTGGGAAAGATATTAATCTTTTGGGGGTTTTGATTGTTCCGGATTGAATATGTAGTAATACACTGAAAATGGTAGCAAAATCGTAAAATTTTCTCATTAGAGGAATCACACAAAGAAAAATTTCTCACAAAGAAATGCATCTCAAACATTGGCTGATCCTCATTTTGCAGCCGACAAAACTGTCTGATCATAATACTGATTCTTCACTAAATATGTAATTGTTTGTGAAAAAGAAAGGAACATTTTCTTAAATTCTTAATAATAAAATATAATAAAAAATAATGCAACTGCTTTGCAATTAAATACTGTTATGTTTTCAAAGATCACTTATACCCCTTATACCAGAACGAGACTGCCGTTGGAATTCTATTTCTTATGCTCTATATACCGAGTGCGTCTCAGATGTTTCTCCCACTATAATTTGTTTATTTTTAACACAGCCCTGGCACTACTGATTTTTTAAGCGAAAATGTCAAAAGTTGACATATGATATGCCATTTTAGTCAGAATGTCATTTTCTTTTGGAATAAAGTAGAAATATACCGAGGGTGCATTTCCGGTCAAAGAGGAAGTGACTAAAAACCATTGAATACGTCAATCAAACCTAATATATATGTCATATACTAACATACCAAAACTCGTTTTTTTTATCTAAAAAAATAAAAAAATTATAGGAGTGAGTCACTGTCGAGACCGGTGTAGAAAAAACAACAATCGCAGACTAAGATGATTGAACGAAGAGAAGAATTTTGAAGTATCTTTAAGGGAAAATTTGTTGTTAAAGTAGCATAAATATGCTTAGTTTGTATAGTTAAAGTATAGAATGAAGGAAAAAGAGAGTTATAATAACTGTTAAGGAGGGGGGGGGGGCGCCAGATAGGGTACTCGCCCGGTCTCAATATTTTCCTTCCGCCGGCCCTGCATGGCTATGTTAAAAACTCTAATCCTTAATCAAGGAGCCTTGGAAAAATAGACTTCATCGTCTAATTCTAATGCTTTTAGTGTCTTGTCCTGGCCAGTTAGATAATGTTCGTGAATCGTGTTTTTAATCATATCTCAATTTTTTTCAAATGGAACGAGCATATTTGGAAAAAGATTTTTTTACGAATAATTTGATACCACACACTTGGTAATTCAAGTCAAATTTTCGTAACGAACCGCAAGTTATAATTTCAAATAAACCATATGCGAAAATGTCAAAAGTTGACGTATGATATGTCAGTGTATTCAGAGTGTTATTTTCTATCGAATAAAGTAAAAAAATACCGAGGGTGCCACTTAAAAATCAAAAGTTGTAGTCATTTCCGGTGAAACAGGAAGTGACCGAAAACAATCGAATACGTCAATCAATCCTAATTTATGTCATATACTAACATACGAAATCTCGTTTTTTCACTGAAAAAATAAAAAAGTTATAGGGGTGAGCCACTTTTGAGACGCACCCGGTAATTACCTACCATTCAGGCTGAGAGCGTCGAGCGTCGCGTCGCGTTTCCGTCGCGTCCGTCCATTGAACTCGACCCCCGACTCTCAGCGGACGCTAGCGCAACGCCAAACACGACGCTGTCTGCCTAAACGGTCTAATTTAAGTTAAGTGAATTGATTCCATTTCGACATGCGGACACGACGCAAACGCGACGCGGCGCTCGACGCTCTCAGCCTGAATGTACCTTTAAAATAAAAAGGTAAGTAGGGACATATACGGATCTTCAATTTTGATTATTTTGTTAAGAATTACATTATTTATTAACATTAAAATAGTTATAACACTATTTAAAATCTTGTTAATATACCAAATTAAGTGGCAAGATAGAGTCTTTGGTCGGTATTTGTCTAGAAAGAAGTAAAATATAGTAAAGCTATAGCGATCTTGTAAGTCGGCGAGAGATAAATGCCTGTGTATATGACATAATAAATATAAAAGTGTTTATTACATAACCACTTAAACCGGCGCTGTATTTAATGAGCTTGAGGAAAGATTTGCTCTTCTCTCTTTGTTAAGTACAACTTTTAGTACTGAACTCTTCATACACACGACAATCGGCACCAAAAGCCGGTTTTTGACGACCGTGTATAATCTAATGTCTTATTAGAAATAAACAATAATATAATATATAATAATATAATATAAATAATAATATAAACAAATAAACCACACAATATATTTGATCTTTTTATGTAAAAATGCCGCTATATATAAAAATCTATTTGTGTCAATCAGTGACAATCTGTGTCTCTTCAGTTGAATACAAGTTTCTCTATTCAAAAATATTATTATATGGTTGGTATAGTCTTTCTCTTGAGTCTGTCCAACGGGAAGATCCCTGACAGTGACAGTTGTGTTGGTAATTTTAATTTGCAGGGAAATTGTATCATCTGTCAATTTTTGGGGGTGTCCTCGAAATAATCTTCCTACATTGGTTGGACATAGTTATATAGGTAGGTTATTTAAAATTAAAATTATTTTTTCGCTCTGATTTATTTAAAATATAGTGCAATTAATATGAACGAGAAAATTTTGAACAAAATTAGATATACATAAATTTAGTTAATTGCATCAGTAAATTTTGTGAAAAAAAAATAGAAATATATACGCAAATAATAATATAAAAGCTTATTTCTACATGAAAAACAGACAAATTATTTTGAAAAAATTTGAAAATGGTACCGAACATTAATTAAAGAAAATTTATAAGTTTGTATAATATACAGGGTGTCCCAATATTCCGCGGACATAGCACTACTACGTATCTTTGGAAACAAAATAAGTTCATTGGACACAATTCACCTCTATACAAAAGTGCTGCATTTGTCCGTCAGAGGGCATCAAACTTTAAAAAAATAAACACATTTTTTTAATATTTTAAGAACCGTCATTCCGATTTGAATGAGATTTGGGGTGTCTATGTTTTGCTAAGTGCTTTAACAAAAATGAAGTAAAAATACGGGATGGGTGAAAACTACCCCCACCCCTACATAAATTTTAGTAGAAATACTTTCCACCTCTACCGACTACTGATTTTTTTTCGTAAAATGGTCCACCTAGTATTAAAGTAAAAAACGCCACATGCATCGCATAGATTTTGAGAAAAAAAAAACTTGAATCTTTTTTTCCAAAGCAGACCTACAAAATACACAGGTAGTTCCAATATACAGTGGACATAGAACTACGTATTTTTTGAATCAAAATAAGTTAATCGCGCATAATAAGTGCTTCGTTTGTCCGGTAGAGGACATAATCAAAAGTAAACACGAACGTTAATTAATACAAAATTTATAAAACTTATTGTCAAATGTCATTTGTTATATTAATATAAAATTCTACCTACAGAAAAAATTCCCTCAAAAAGTATACACGGTGGCGTTTTTTTACAAGAGACAAAAAATGTAGTATGTAAATGCAATATGTTCGAAAAAAAAAACGGCGTCAGCGATGGCTATGAAATGAAGATTACTATCTCTCGATCTATTTTATATATAAAATTATTATATGGGGACATTCCCCATATAATGACATCATCGATCGTCATTTCCAAGCCAAGTTTGATGCCCTCTGATGGACAAATGAAGCACTTGTATACCTTAGACACCCTGTATACCTCACATATCTATGAGGAAAATGCATGTTTTTAAATAATGGTTTTAAAAAATAGTTCATATAATTACAAATTGAACAAAAAAAAATCGTTGATATTGGTTAAGAAATGCCTCTAATATAAAATAATTAAATATTGTTAATTTAAATGGCCGAGCAAACGCTCTCTACCGCGCCTTGCCGCTGTGACGTCACCCGCCGTTCTTCTAGTTGAGTAGAGCCAGACGCGTGTTTATTTTACACAGTTTGCTTTTAAACGCTGTTGAATCCGAGTCAAAATGTTAGTTATTTGGGTTAGTTAATAAATAATTAGTAATTAGTGATATTTATAAATAGTAATGGATGAGCGAAAACAGAAAAAAATGGTCCAAGGCCATGAGAAGAGATGAAAAGAGAAACGTTAAATTATCCTCTATTTTTACGATTTATTGTTGTGAAGATCATTTTGATGTAAGTTCATATATTTATGTATATTGTCTTACATAGGTATATGAAATTTGAATGCACAGGGTTATTCATTATATTTTGACACCCATATACAGCCTTAACTGCAAGTTTTAGAAGAAAACATTAAATAAAAAAGTTGCATGGTTTTTCATATACTCTCTTTTAAAATTAATTCTAGATATACAGGGTGTTTCAAAAAAGGTGGTCCAGAAAATTGTAGGCATTTTTCGCTTTTCAACTGTCAATATTTCGTAAACATTTGAAGATAGGTATAGGATATTATACATGAAATATATCTAGAATATCTAGAAATTTCCGAAGAATCGGTTTCACTTAAAAAAGTAACTTAATTTTGGCGTTTGCTTATGGGACACCTTGTATAATATTTTCATTACTGATTAACAATTTATTTCCTATAATTTCTTTAAAAAAAACAATCTTTAAAAATAACAAAGGTAAGGGGGTGTCAATATATAAAAAAAAACTTTCTTTTTCACGCTATGCTCTGGAGTTACTTTTCCACGTACTAAACAAATATTTTTGTCTCTTTTCACTTCTACATAACCTACAGCATTATCTCCATACGTCTCCCTACCTGATCTGAAAAATAGGTTTATAACATTAATATTTATAACTATATAAAAGTTCGTAACAGTAGGTACCTACTTATACTTAAATATGCCTCAGTACTACAAAGAATAAATGTTACATACCTCTCTGTTTTTTTCCTCGTAATTCAGCACCAATAAATTGGGAATTTGTATTTATAAAAGCAGCCAACATAAAAGCATCGACTTTTGGCAAGTTATCTGATTGTGCTTTTACAAACCCGGAATCTGCCATTACTTAAAAAATTCTCAGAACACACAACACATACAAATAATAACTGCACAAAAAAGCATAAAAAGCTCCTTCAATCAACGCTAAAAGCAACAAAAATGTCTTAGTACGCCACCTAAATACGTACATAAACGGAACACGTCTGGCTGCTGCTGGCCATCGCGCGTCGACGAGAACGGCGGGTGACGTCAGACCAATAGAATATCGTTTCAATTCGCGAGGCGTCGTTTGCGTTGTCCATAGTATTTTAATGGCCCGTTTTATAAAATTGTGGTACTGCTTTCAAGAAAAAAGTTTTTTTTTGCATTTACACATATTTATTCTAATAAATTGAACAGTTTCTGGCGAAAAATAAAATAAAAATATATGCATCTTCCTCATTTTATGATATTTCTAATTATAATAATTTATTCAATATTATTTCCCTTTAAAGTACCTAATCGTATATTATACCGTGCTAGCAACTGTTACGTTTGGGTCGGTATTTACATGTGTGGAAGTAAATCGCAGAGTAAGTAGTAAGGGACAGAGTAAGTAGATCGCCGCCGCCGAGTAGCGACAGAAACCGTCGGCTCTTTTGATGGGGTAGGACCAAATTTTCTTTCTCTCTCTTCTGACGTGTTTGACAGATAGACTACGTATTTAACTGTTCAACTTATGAAGTGGTCCTATAAACATGGTATACACTGCTCATAATTTGAAGTGGAATTAATTATAAAGTTTTATACATATTTCTTTTGTGTTGTTTTATCCTTATTTCTAAATTTGAATGTATAAAATATCTTACAGCTAATAAATAATTAAAAAAAAAACGATTCGTTGCCTGAGGTACAAACCGCCGCTTATTTTTAAAAGACTTTTTTTCGAAAAGATAACTAGATAAAATCATTAGATATGTTTCTGAGCATCTGAAATGGAATTATAAGGATATCGTTAGGGTGTCCATTTTTTTTATAACGAGAAAACGTCAGTAAACCCGATAATTTAAAAACTCAACTTTTTAACACATAACACGCCATAACTTAAGAACCACTTTAGATATTGAAACTTTTTTTTATTTTGAATATCGGTATCTTTTACAATATGTTTAAATAATAAGAAAAATTCGATAAGGTTGTTTTTTTTTCATTCAAAAATTTTAAACAACCCAGCCATTTACTTTTAGTGAATAGCAATTTTCAGCAATCGTGTAACTTTTTATTTATAAAGATTTTCACATACTCCCTGCGAAGAAAATAGGCACAACATATTTTTTATTAATTGCTAACTTAGATCCTGGTTTTTAGCATATACGTATTACTTTTTACAAATATACTCAGCCTAATCTCCAAAAAGTGAAGCCCAAACAGTGAAAGAACAATATAGAATTCTGCATAAGTCTATTTCACCCGGATATTCATTTAACTGAGCATGCCTCACCTGAAGAAGTTTTCATTGCTCGATGTTTTTAAAGGGAAGTGGTTGACTGACATTTCCCCTAACCTTCAATTTTATTTATATTTTTATTATTTATAACACATTATCATGGAGTTGGAAAAATATAAAAAAATAGTTGGAAACAATAAACTAAACAAAATCACTCTTTTACGCGCACAAATAAAAAGTAATACAAACAGAACTAAAACAACAATCAATCGGAGTTTGGCGCAATCGCAGTTCAATCCATATCCGGGTGAAATAGACTTATGCAGTTTTAATATGGAGCTGGATTATGTTGTCTTTTTCTTACGGCACAGAAATTGCACACGGGGTTAAATAGGGAACCCTGAGTATATTTGTAAAAAGTAATACGTATATGGTTTTTAGGTACACCTGGGTACACCTTGTCAAAAATAGAATGATATATGTAAGCTTAGTTCGGATTTTTCCTATAGGGTACATTTAGATAAAAGTCGATTACATATAGTATTCAATTATATTCAAATTTACAATTTTTACAAGAATAGAAATATATAAAATAATAACTAGTTCATTTAAATTCGCCATAATTTATATTCGCAATACTAGTTGCGAGTAACTCTTCCATTAAAACTTCTCTGTTGTTAAGTCTTTCTAAAATTTCTCTTACCACTTGCATATCGCCCATCAACATTTCAATCTTCTTAGTATTTTCATCTATTTTCCGGGACATGCCAAGTAACTCTGTGGAATTTTGCTGTTCATCCTTTCCTTCGTCTGTTTCCTGGTCATCAGCTTGGCTTCCCGCTTTTCTTTTCATAGCTATTTAATACGCTGCCTCCAAAATATCTTTAGGTAATCTATTTTCACTGGGATTCAAAGGTTTGACGTTTATCGCCACCTTGCTAGATTTGTTCGAAACCAAACTCCAGTGAAGGATATTCATCAGATACCTTGTCAGATAACCGTCAAACAGAGCTAGTTCGATGTAAGAGACCAGTTTGGTTTGACGAACTAGTTTGGATAAACCAGCTGTTTTCTGCAAGCCTTCTATATCGTTTACCGCAATACCTACTAGCAGGTTCATAAGAATTATGGTAACGAATAATAAAAACAGAACAAAAGTAACTTGGGCGCTGATTTCTAGCACCAAAGGTGGGTCTTCAGGATCGTCATCGACCAAAATTTCTAAGTTTAGTTCTCCGATCATCATAGTAATGACAGTTATGAAACCAATAAATGGATTGGCAAAGGTATTGGAGTCGGGGAAAATAACACAAAAACTTATGGCGAAACCTATGAGAATGCAGGAATAAGCTAGAAGCAGTTTGAAACAATAATTTAATCAATATTATTTCCATTTAAAGTACTTAATCGTATGTACCGTATGATCGAAAAAAAACGGCGTCCAGTTGGCTGGGAAATTACGATCGATGACATTTTCCATATAAATTTACATATAAAATGACAGCGATCTTCATTTCATAGCCATCGCTGACGCCGTTTTTTCTCGATCATACGGTATATTATATAACAAAAAATAGGCCACAACACATTTTTATTAATTGCTAACTTAGATCCTGGTTCTTAAATACACCTGGGTACACCTTGTCAAAAATAGGATGACATATGTAAGCTTATTTCGGGGTTTTCCTATAGTACATTTAGATAAAAGTCGATTATATATAGTATTCAATTACATATATTCAAATTTACAATTTTTTACAAGAATAGAAACATATAAAATAATAACTAGTTCATTTAAATTCGCCATAATTTATATTCGCAATACTAGTTGCGAGTAACTCTTCCATTAAAACTTCTCTGTTGTTAAGTCTTTCTAAAATTTCTCTTACCACTTGCATATCGCCCATCAACATTTCAATCTTCTTAGTATTTTCATCTATTTTCCGGGACATGCCAAGTAACTCTGTGGAATTTTGCTGTTCATCCTTTCCTTCGTCTGTTTCCTGGTCATCAGCTTGGCTTCCCGCTTTTCTTTTCATAGCTATTTCATACGCTGCCTCCAAAATATCTTTAGGTAATCTATTTTCACTGGGATTCAAAGGTTTGACGTTTATCGCCACCTTGCTAGATTTGTTCGAAACCAAACTCCAGTGAAGGATATTCATCAGATACCTTGTCAGATAACCGTCAAACAGAGCTAGTTCGATGTAAGAGATCAGTTTGGTTTGACGAACTAGTTTGGACAAACCAGCTGTTTTCTGCAGGCCTTCTATATCGTTTACCGCGATACCTACTAGCAGGTTCATAAGGATTATGGTAACGAATAATAAAAACAGAACAAAAGTAACTTGGGCGCTGATTTCTAGCACCAAAGGTGGGTCTTCAGGATCGTCATCGACCAAAATTTCTAAGTTTAGTTCTCCGATCATCATAGTAATGACAGTTATGAAACCAATAAATGGATTGGCAAAGGTATTGGAGTCGGGGAAAATAACACAAAAACTTATGGCGAAACCTATGAGAATGCAGGAATAAGCTAGAAGCAGTTTGGCAAACTCACCTTGGACTCTTGTATACATAGCAACGTATGGACCAAAGAGTGGAAGTTGTCCAATCATTAGCATCAAGTTAGTCCAACCGAAGAGCACTGCAAAGGCTCCTACATGATTTTGCCAGGTATAGGTCCTACCAGTGTAGACGAACGAAATGACAAAAACACTGACTATCACAAACCATTCAATGATATTCTCAGAGTATAGCATATATTGTTTAAACGATTTACAACCGCTTAGCCCGTAAACTTTTCTTAAAATCTCGCAGGCAGTGATGACAACCAAACCAAACCACTGCATCTCAATGACAAAAGGATTGTTTCTCAGCATATCACCCAGCATAGACTTCTTCTCGCACAACTCGATGACGTTGTCCTCGTCATCTTCGTCCATGTTCTTACCGCGATTATAACAATTATGTGCCAGAGCTGTCAAAACATACAAAGATAAACTTAATACAAAAACCAAAGCAAAAAGAATTCGAGCTATATAGTATTTCCTGATTTTTTTCCACTTAATATAGAGAAAAGCCGAACAGAGCGGATGAAGAAGTATTTCCTTTTGCCCTTCGTCAACGAACGTGTTCAAAAAACAAATTTCCTTGGGATGACAGTGTTGCAAGATCATCCGAAAGTCCAAGGTGACTTCGATCTCTTTGCTATAACCTGAATGGTTAGAAAAGGAGATCGATTGGTCTAGTTTGGAGTTGATGGTTTCTAATGCTGCGGGTGTCTTTTTCCGGATTATCCCGAGTGCCGTGGTACCTCGGTCGGATTTGGCAGTTACGTCAGCGCTGTGGTTGATCAAAAGTTTGACGCAGCGTGTCAATTCGTTCATGGCAGCGATGTGGAGGGGTGTATATCCGTGTTGGCCTTTAATATTTACATCTGCGCCGCCTCTGAAAATTTATTTTGATCATTGATGTAAATAACATAACAAGTGCGCGCATTGCGATGAGCAAATGCAAGTTAATAAGTAGTCTTAGTCTTGGTCTTGCAGGGTCCAGTCTTGGTCTTAGTGTCGCTGCAAGACTTTTGCAAGTCTTACATTTTTAATGGATTTTTACCAGAAGCATTTTCTAGATTTTCTAGATAGAAACTTTTAAAATAAATATTATTTTTAATAATTTAATGTAAATAAACCTTAATGAAAGGAATCATTAGAATATTAGTCTGACGAAAAATTTTATTTTTCAATATATTATATACAGCGTGAGTCTTAAATACAAGTGCAAATATTTTTACGGCTAGTATATTTCGACCCCAGAAACACGATTATCAGTTTTTTTTGCGAAAAAAGAATTTTGAAAATTTGGAATTTTTTGAAAAAGTTTTTAGATTTTATCAACGCAAACCTTTGAAGGAGGGTAGAAGGACAATAACTCACAATCTTTAAGTTGTTTAATTTAAATTTTAATGCTTAAAAAGATTTTTAGATTTTTTTTTGTTTTTAGTTAAAACCCATAATTTCTTGATAATATGGCAACATAGGTTGTAAATTAAATTTACAAGAAATAAAACCTAGAAAAGAATTTAAGCAAAAAATATTTTTTTGCGCTGAAAACATACTAGCCCTGAAAATATTTGCACTTCTTTAAGACTCACCCTGTATATTGAAAAATATATATAATATATTCTAATTTATTCCTTTAAAAGTTTATGCAAAAGTCGAAACAACACTATTTAAACAAATAAACCATTTTTTATATCATAAAAACGTGAAAAAAAGACCGCAAGAGTCTTGCATGCTTGGTCTTGCACTGGTCGGTTTTGGCCTTGGTCTTGCATTTTGTGCAAAAACCAAGACCATTCAAAAAATGACCAGACTAACAATTAGTTCACATGTGACTAGACAATGATTATGTTAACTTTTAGAAGTCTATATTAAGATTAATGAGAATTTTCTGTCATTTTGATTTCATAGGTAACGCCTTTAGTATGGTTTAGTAGTTGTCGAAAAATATAACCTCAATCTGTCAAAACAGTAAAAATCTCATAAAATGAGCTTACAGTCTGACTAACGGATCTGAAACAACGAGGTAACGGTAAAGGGAATACAGTTTTCTAAAAAACTGGCTGATTTATTGATTCATATATCGTGCGTTGTTTTATGAAAATATATCAGAAATTTTCTATATTATTTTCCAGTATCAACTACATTTTGCATCTACTACATTTACTTAATGTATCTACTACATATATTTAGCGATGTACTAATAACAGGGTCGCTATATACAGGGTCGCTATTATGTATGGAAACGGTCGATTATTATTAGGTAAATTATACAAGGTACCGCAAAAAGTTAAATACAAAAATTATAGGGTTTTTAAATGTCTATTGGCGAGTAATAGAGTTATGTATACAGGGTCGATCCTGTATACTTAAATTTATTAATAGATCGCTAATAGATATTTAAAAATTCTATAACTTTTGTATTTAACTTTTTGCGGTACCTCCTATATTTTACCTAATAATCGACCGTTTCGTAAAAGCGACCCTGAAGTAATATTTGTTAGAAAGCGTGTACTAATTACCAATATGCTGAAATAAATTTAAAATACAATAACACCGCCACTATTTCAGTACTACTATTTCCACTATTTGCAGGGAGAAGCATAAAATTGAATGTAGCACTAGCCAATAGGAAAACAATCATGGCAACGAAATGTATGAGAATCTCCACTAATCAGGTTGGTTGAATCCAGGATGCCATGATTACTTTCTCGGCGGTGTTTACTTGAAATGGACACCTTTAGGAAATATTTACCTTTTAAGGATAAAAGGCAGAATGAAGGCATCTAACAACAAAAGGTACGTTAAAACAGGTACTTATGATATATAAAATAATGCATGCTGGAATGATCTTAAAGTATACTAAATTTATAGGTAATAGGACCAATTTTGCTTGTAATTTTTTAACTTGGCAATATCTGTTCTTTTATCTGCATTCCTTTTGTTCCTTCAGCACCGTTTGTCAGATAATATGTATACTTAAAGACATACAGTGTATATAAATTACCGTATTAGTAGGTCAATAATTTCGCAGTTTTGCTTACTGGCGGCTAAATGTAGAGGAGTCATTTTGTTGCAATCGGTCAAGTTAGGATCTGCCCATCCACTTAAAAGTATCCTTACAGAATCAGTGTTTTGTGCCTTCACAGCCAAGTGAAGAGGGGTCTCATTTCTACAATAATTATGCATATAAAGGTTTTTATTAAAAAAATTCCTAAGTCAAAACACATTAAAAAATATTTCTAATAAAATACTAGTGATGACCTAATAATAAAATACCAGTTTATAAAAGTAGTATTAATAATACTTAAAGCTACGAAGTGAATATTGAGGAGCTTTAAAATAAAAAAGGGCAAGATTTTCTAGCATGCATTTCTTTGCAATTGGCCTTTGAGAAAACCTTTAGCAATAGAATATTTTCACGAAGGCTGAAAATTTAAGGGAGTAAAAAATTAAAAGTTTAGGATCAGAATTCACGGAATATTGTCTAAAAAACTGTATATCATCACTCACCTATCATTTAATATATTAATGTCCGCATTTGATTCCAACAATACTTCTATACAACCGATAGCTCCAGCTTCAGCTGCTAAATGCAAAGGGCTGTAATTATTTACTTTGGTTTTTGCATTTACATTCACCCCAGGGGTCTTTATCATTATAGCTAGACATTCGGCATGACCCATCTCGGCCGCTAAGTGAACTGGAGACATGCCAGTTAATTCCACTTGTCCTAAATCAGCTCCTTTTCAATAAACAAATCATAATAACAATTAAAATAGGTATAAAGGTATTTTTGAAAAGCGTCTCACACCTATCACTTTCTTAAATTTTCAGATAAACGAAATTTGGTGTGTTAGTGTAGGACATAAATCAGGATTGATTGACGTTTTTAATTACTTTCGGTCACTTCCTGTTTCACCGGAAATTACTACATTAACTTTTGATTTTTAAATGTATGTGGTATAACATTATTCTTAAAAAATGCATTTCCGAAATATGCTAACGAGCCACTCTCGTTTGATTTTAAAAAATTCAGTTATGATTAAAAATATTGATCATATTTTAGCCGGCCAGGAAAAGACACGAAAAACATTATACGATCAAACCTATTTTTCTAAGGTTCCTTGATTAAAATTAGTGGTTTTGACACAGCCATGGCACTCTAGATTGAAATTGAAAATACTTTTTTTACTTGAAAATGTTAAAAGTTGACATATGATGTGTCATTCTGCAAACTATTCAGAATGCAATTTTCTCAAATAACGTAAAAATTACCGAGTATACCATTAGAAAATCAAAGTTTGTAGTTAGTTTCTGTGAAATAGAAAGTGACCGAAAATAATTGAATACGTCAATCAATCCTGATTTATGCATATACTAAAATATCAAATATCGTTTTGTTATCTGAAAAAATAAAAAAGTTATAGGGGTGATCCACGATTGAAAATCACCCAATCTATTAATCATCAGTTTACATTGAAACCTTCAGTTTATCAAACTAAAGTTAGTGACTGGAGATTATCCCCAAACTTAAGCCAGGCTAGGAACAAATTACGACTTCTTCCAAATGCATAATATGCACCAGTGCACCAAGATCATAATGCATAAGAATGTGTAATTATAATAGAAATGTTCACAAAAAAATTAAAACGTGCCTACTTCTCATAAAATCATTCATTATGACATTAAAACTCAGTATGCAAAGTTTCATAACATTCCGTAAAAGGCTTATGCCTTAAAAATCCGTGCGAAATTATCGTAATCGTTTGAATCCGCTAAACGCGTCCTGACGTCACTGCTTCGATCGGTATTTCCGCGGGAGTAAACGGTGCTGTCTGCACGCTGCACGCTGCACGCTGTGGAATTTCTAACAGAACAAGCTAGAATACGACATATCGCGTTATGCTCGGATGTAGTTTGTATATTAAATGTGGTTTATTGTGATTAATATTTGAAGTTTATAACTAGTTTAAAAACAAAGCTACTTTTAGTGAGGTGAAGGACGGGTTTACTTGAAAGCGATAACAAACAACACTTGGTTTTTGACAATACAAAATTATGGAGTTTTTGAACTGTCACAGGCCCGTATTTAGGAGGAGGGGGCCAAATTTTAAATTTTAATTATCATATTAAACTGAAAATTTGCATGCGTATATAGAAGCTAAGACAATGTAAAATTATCGTATTGTTGATCTGATATAGGGCCGTATTAAGGAGAAGGAGCCAAATCTTAAATTTTAATTGTATTGACCTGAAAATTCGCACACGTATACAGGGTTCTCCAGTTTAAAATGAGGTACCTACATGGGGAATAATGGGGATATTGAAGATCGTTAAAGTTACAAGATCAGTTAAATAGAAGAAAAGTTGCGTTTTTGTGTGTCCAAAAATAATCTAGGTCTATTTTATTTAATATTCATATACCGTTACGTAAATACAGGGAGAAAAAGAAAAATGTGCATTTTCTAAACACCACCATATTTTCTTTATTATTGGAGCTAAGGTCATCAAAATTTTAACATAGGGGTAAGGCAATATGGAAATTTTAAAAATCGTGTTCAAAAAAGTCAAGGCTTACTACGTTGCGCATGGCCGAAGTGCACTTTTGCTTTTCCTATGGGCGCCATATTGAAATATATGGTTGAAAACATTTTTAATAAGGATTTTTAAAATGCCAAATTTAAATATGGCGCTCATAAGAAAAATAAAAGCTGACCTCGGCCGTGCGCAACATAGAAGGTTGCGCAAGAAATAAGTCGTTTTTTTTGATATCATTTTTAAAATTGCCATGTTGCCTTGCCCATATATTGAAATTTTGATTAGCTTAGCTCCAATAATAATATGGTGGTTGTTTATATGGTAATAATATGGCTCCTAAAATATGGTGGTTTTTCGAAAATGTACATTTTTTTCTTTTTCACCTTGTAAAATAGAAAATAAGATAGACATATAAAAAGAATAGAAAATAAAATAGACATAGATTATTTTTGGGCATACAAATACGCAACTTTGCTTCCATTTAACCGACTTTGTATCTTCAACGGTTTCCAAGATCCCCATGTACCCATTTTAAATTGGACACCCTATAGGACCCATATTAAGCGAAAAATTTACAAGTGAAAAAATTGATCAAAAAAACTTTTTAAAAACAAGCTTAAAATTAAATGCACTTAAAAGTAGAAAATAAGAATTAAAAGCAAGGGGCGCAAAGTAACGATTTAAACTTCTGTGGATTATTTTTTGACGTATTAATACACCCAGGGACAAAACACCACTTATTTGAACTCATTTTACTTCTTCAAAACACCAAAACAATGAAAATAAACAATACACCTTCGCGAACGTCTGTAAAAACAATGCGGCAAGTGCACGATCGTACGGACGCCATCGATCGATCAAAGCAGTGACGTCAAAAACTGGTAGCCTCGAGCCGGGTACGTTTTCTAGCCTTTTTTTTCTTGCTGCGTTTCTCAATTTTGTTTTGCGTTTATGAAAATTATAGTTTTTAAGAAAAACTTTGAGTGCCATGTTTTTTTACTCATAGGTAGCTATCGAAATTCATTGAAATTAGAAATTAGTGAACATGTCTTTCTATTTTTTAATATTTCGTCTCAATATGAATTTTGTTGCTATTACGAATGCTATCAGGATATTAACTCGACTTTTAACGCTTACCTTCTGCAGTTAAGAGCCTCACACACTCAATAGAATTCACTCTTACAGCACAGTGCAGCGCACTCTCGTTTGCATAAATTGGACTTTTGGTCACTGTTTGTATTTGAGCCCCATGATGCAACAAGACTATAGCGGTCTCAGCATTATCTCCAAAAACTGCACAGTGAAGTGGGCTGTAGAATTTGTGGATGGCATTAACGTCGCTTCCTTGAGCTATTAGAAACTGGGTACCCGCAATACAGCCGCTGAATGCAGTTAGGTGTATGGCGCTTAGTCCTTGGTTTGGCTCAAAATGTCTGAAAATTACAGTGCAAATCAGTCATTAGTTCATGCAAATCAAACAATGAAATCTGAAAAAGAAACTATAACTTTTATAGCTATTAACTAAAAAATAAAAATCAGTATTATCTTAGTACGAACTTTATTTTGTAGTAGGACTAGAGTGTCACATATCAAACCGCTATTGATTTTAATCAATAGTTCAAATTTAATCATTTAATTTGAAGAAGGTGTCCTACAGTAAAATATACTTTCTGTCTCTCTATAGCGAACAGTAGACGGAAAACTTTAAGCATCTGCAGAACAGCCAGGAACAATGAAGAAACTGAAGAACCGAAAACGCCAGGAACAGACAATATTACAAATGAACTCCTGAAGTATGGTGGTCCCGAGCTAGTAAAATATCTAAAATTGTTGTTTAACAAGATTCTCGAAACGTCAGAAACTCAGCAAGAATGGCACAAAAGCGTCACAATTCTTATTTTTAATAAAGAACAAAAAACTACACCCGAAAACTACAGAGGCATAACTTTCCTCAATACAACTATGATACTACTAATATTTTGAAAGGAAAACTCGAGGAACAAATTACGAATAACGGAAGGAAGCGTGGGAACAAAAACAAAATTATTGAGCAAGTATTACAGTTTAGGTACCTAGGAATAGGTATCTAAACGAAATCAGATAAAGATCTGCGAAGCCAAATAAATAGAACGACAGACATGTCAGGATTCCTGAGGCACATAGTGTGGACAAACCCCTTCAGACAAACAGACCGCAAAATTAAAATTTATAAGACCTGCAGCTACCTACTTAAAGCAGTTAAGAACTTATATCAGAACACCACAGCTAGAATAAAAATACGAGACTCATTGTCAGACAGCATAAAAATTACAAAAGCCCTCAAGCAGGGATATTGCATATCTCCTATACTATTCAAAATATACCTGCAACAAGCACTAAAAAATGGATGCTTAAGTGTAGAGGAATGGGAATCCCCCTAATAAATGAGGACACCCTATACACCCTATTTTTTGCGGACGACCAGATAGTCCTAGCCCAAGATCACGACGACCTTGAACATATAGCAAGGAAGCTGATAGAGGAGTATAAGAAATGGGGGTTGGAGGTAAATATCACCAAAAGTGAATGTATGACTGTAGGGGGGGCCACAAGAGAACATAGTCTTAGAGGATGGAAGCGTGATAAAAAACTATGACAAATATAAATATCTTGGATTGAAAATAACTAACGATGGAAAACTCGATGAGGGTATAAAAGATCGAATAATGCAAGGCAGGAGGGCAATATCTATATTGAATGGTGTACTGTGGGATCAAGGAATCTCTAAAGCTAATAAGAACATATATAATACGGTAGTGAAAAGCATAATAACTTACGGAAGCGAAGTATGGCAGTTGAAAAGCAGAACAGAAAACATGCTATTAGCGACCGAAATTGATTACTGGAGGAGATCTGCAGGAAAATCGAAAAGAGAACAAATAACCAACGACAGAGTAAGAGAGATTATGGGAGCAGAACACACAATTGTGGACGACATAAGAACAAAACAACTCATATGGTTTGGTCATGTGCAACGAATGCCCGATCACAGAATACCAAAACAAATTTTACTGTGGACACCTCGAGGCAGAAATAAGAGAGGAAGGCCGCGACGAAGCTGGAGGGAGGGTGTGGATAAAGAACTAGTAAATAGAGAAATACCTGATGATCTCTGGCTAAATAGAGAAGAGTGGAGGTTAGGTGTCGGAAAACGACGTAGAACCAAAGAATATTTGGTAGAACGTTCTGAACCGACTTATACAGGGTGTTTCAAAACAAATGCGAAAAACTTCAGGGGGTGATTCCTTGTTCAAAATAAAGGGTAGTTTGCTTCATAAACGTTAGGTCAAAAGTCAACCATTAGGGAGATATCGCGGTACAAAGATGGCGGAAAAATAATGTTCTTATTTTTTATCTTGAAAACGAAAAGAGATAGACTAATGAAATTTTATGGAAGCATTACTGTTATGAAAACACACTTTCTGGTAATTTTATCACTTTTTTAAAATGAGTGGAAGGGGTTGAAATAAACTACCCCTATCATTCTTGTTAACGAAATTTAAAGAAAAATCTTATCAAACACATGCAAAAAAATTAATTTGGATAGTTTAGTTTGTTTAGAAACTTTTTATCTCTTGTATTTTTTTTTATAAAACTCACCGATTTGAAATTAAAAATAAAATGTAAAGCATTACATGTCAGGACTAAAAATATTTTTAGATTAAGAATCTAGTGATAATAATGATAATAATAATAATAATCTAGATAATAACGTATTGCAGTAGGGTAATGTCAAATAAAACAATATTAGAAACATCCTAAAAAGTGACAGCGGCCGACTAGATTTTTTCCTAAAAAAATTACAGCTGCCCACTAGATTCTTTATCTAAAAATGTTTTTTGCCCTGACATGTAATGCTTTACATTTTATTTTTTAATTTCAAATCGGCGAGTTTTATCAAAAAAACACAAGAGATAAAAAAGTTTCTAAATAAACTAAACTATCAAAATTATTTTTTTTTGCATGTGTTTGATAAGATTTTTCTTTAAATTTCATTAACAAGAATGATAGGGGTACTTTATTTGAATCCCCTCCACTCATTTTAAAAAAGTGAAAAAATTACCAGAAAGTGTGTTTTCATAACAGTAATGCTTCCATAAAATTTCATTAGTCTATCTCTTTTCGTTTTCAAGATAAAAAATAAAAGCATTATTTTTCCGCCATCTTTGTACCGCGATATCATCCATTAGGGATAATGGTTGACTTTTGACCCAACGTTTATAAAGCAAACTACCCTTTATTTTGAACAAGGAATCACCCCCTGAAGTTTTTCGCATTTGTTTTGAAACACCCTGTATATATATAAGACCTGCAGACCAATAGTGACATATATGGCATAGAAATCCGAGAGGAAACAAACAAAACCAAAAGCATGTTAAGGGTTGCTGAAATGAAGAACCTAAGAACCATAATGGGGAAGACTAGACGACAGAATTAGAAACACAAATATCAGACAACAATGTGGAATACAGGACGTAGTGATATGGGGTAGATAAAGAAAAAGACAATGGTTCGTACACGTCAAACACATGGAAGAAAACAGGCTACCACGCATAGCTCTCGAAGGGAAACCCATGGGTAAGAGATAGCCGGGAAGACCTCTGGCAGTCCATCTCCCAAGAACTGCCACAGAGGCAATCTTAAAACTAACAGATCGACTAGATCTCAAATAAGTAGAAGAAGAAGAACAGTCAGGAAAACTTGGCCCAAATACGACCTTAGAAAATCGAGAGAGCTCATAACTGAGTCGCGTAAGGATATCGCCAGACTAACAGCGGTATATACTGGACACTGGCCAAATGTTGAACATGTTGCGAGAATGGGCATCCCTTTTGCCGAAGCTGCAGACTCGAAGGAAGGGGAAATTATCTTGCATTTTCCTCATTCGTAGATCTTGAAGATTTGCCGTTGCCTTAATGCCACCGAATTGTTATAAACACTTAACAATCCAACTTTATCATCTCTAGGGATAGGGTCGCACTCGCCACTTCAACCAAACCAACCTATAGTGAAACACGTACTGCTTTTAAAAATATATAGTATAAAGTAAAAAATAAAAACCAGTTTTATTTTTTCTTAAGTGTTAGTTATAGGTAGGATTTTTGGTACTTACTCTAATTTAGCTCCTAACTTCAAAGACTCTTCTAATAAATCCCACCTTCCCAAAAAAGCGGCCCACAAAAAACATATATTCAATTCTGTTTTATTGACGTTTTTAAAATTCTCCTCCAAGTTTTCTTGTACGATTTTCTTAGTTTCTATGTCTTCAAACAAGCTAAAATTACCTAAAATTGTATTGGTTAACAACATAATTCACGCTATTTATATACAGGGTGGTCCGAACTGTATTCCGGAAACTTTGGTAGCATATTTTGTAGATAAAAATAAGTAAAAAAGTTCGTATAAATGTATGTCCTAAAATGCTTAGTTTCGGATATACAAGGTGTAGAAATTTTATTTTTATTTCGATTTTTTCCAAATAATTCCCAAGTAAAGTCAATATTTGGATGAAAATTGTCGTCTGGGAGTTTTTTTACATGAGAAATTTGATTTTCATGCCCATATTACTCCTACTTGTAGAGGGCGCCACCTACATATTTTTTAACTGGTTTGAAGTGTAATAACTTTTCGTTCGTATATGTTTAGAACTACCGAGTAAAAAAATGTACATTTACGACGTTTTTTACATAAAAAAGGTATATTGATGAAAATCGCTACAAGTAATGGTTCCCGAGATATTTGGAATCGAATATATCAATATCTGTCTACATTAACATAAATTAAACACATTGACTAAATAGTTATTAGGCTGAAATTATAAATTTGAAATGTTTTTGTGCCAAAAGTTCAACAGAAACTGTTTTATTATAATTTCATAAAGAAAGAAAAATATGTGATTAATTTTAAAAAATAAAAAGTTCCCAAATTTTCGGTCAAATAACTATTTACTGAACACAACTGTTTATTTTTTGTCAATAATGACATGTATTGACTATTTCCATTCTAAATATCTTGAGAACGGTTGCTCGTAGCCATTTTTACCAAGATATTTTTTTTGCGTAAAAATTCATGGAAATGTATATTTTTTCACTCAGTAGTTTTATACAGGTATGGGAGAAAAGTTGTTACTTTTCGAAACAGTTAAAACACATGTAGGTGGCGCCCCCTACAAATAGGACCCATATTGACATCAAAATCAAATTTCTCATGTCAAAAAACTCATTTTTTTTCACACCAATTTTCATCCAAATATTGACGCTACTTATTATTATTTGGAAAAAATCGAAATAAAAATGAAACTTCTACACCCTGTATCTCCGAAACTAAGCATTTTCAGACATACATTTATACGAACTTTTTTACTTACTTTTATCTGCAGAATATGCTGCCGAAGTTTCCGGAATACAGTTCGGACCACCCTGTATATATCTCATTTACCAGAACATAATTTCATTTGTTCTTCCAAACTCTTTCTGATTTTCTCCTGTGTCAATGGAATACTGTATTGACTGGCTGAAGAAAATTGGAAACTTTCATTGAAAAATCCCATGGTGTTATCAGGTGATGGACTTGTTCCGCAGTCGATATAATTTGAGTCATCGGAATCTTCTTCCTGATATAGCGTGTCTAAGTCTAAGTTAATCCTAAATAGAAGGACATAGCGTTTTTCTGAATGTGGTAGTAATGAGTTTGGCTAAAACTTTTTATTCAGTAAGGAGTCTTGCACGCTTAAGCATGAGAGTTTTCACGAAAGACGTTTGCAAAAAAGCATGTTTGTCAGTGTAATAAAAATATTCCAGTGATAACCCATATACACATCCCTGGTGAAGATGTCGATCCTTTTTTGGCATTAAAATGTCGCACTTGTAGTAATTTTTACCATCAAAATTTCATTTTAATCTCTAAAAGCACTTATGAAGTGAATTATAATAAATTGAAAAAAATTCTAATAAAAGAAAAGAAAGAAAACTATAATAAAATGAAACAAAAATGAAGTCTTTTAGCCCCCTGTAGCTAGGAAACAAAGCAGAATCGGACCTATATGTTGATATAAGAAATAATCTTTTTTTGGCGCGAGGAAGCTCCCCACAAGAGATGGCACATGTTTTTTGAAACACCCTGTATAAAGAAACTGGTGTATATGTTACGGTTAAAGTCCGACGTTCGGTTAATGTCGACATTAACAGGTTAATGTTTGGGTTTGGTTTTGTTTTTGGTTGTTTGGTGTTGTATTATTCTCGAGATTAACCGGGTAATGTCGATATTAACTGAATATCGGACCTTAACCGTAACATATATAATTCATTTTGTGTTTTTTTACAGATTTTTTGTCATGTTAATATTCTTATTTTAGTTAAGAAACATAAAATTAACTAGTCATTCACTTTAATACGCATTTCATTTTACCTATAACTGCGGCCACGAGATATAACAGAGTTGGAAAAACTGTGCAAAGACACGTATTCCGAGTTAGTATTTGTGCTTATAGACCTTCCAAATTTTCCTGAACTGTTTTTTAACGGCAGACTCTCCCCATTAACATTGTCTATTTGAGTTTCCATGTCAAACACCATTTTATCACCACTTTTAAACTTGTACTTGACCCAAACGTATAATTTTTACCGTTTTCTTATAATAATCTAATCTACATTTGAATATCATGTTAATCTGTTTTTATTATGCCCTATAAAGTTTAATTGCTGTTGGAAATAATAATATTTACGCAAATTAGATATATCTTCTTCCGAGAAAAACGTTTTTGAATTACTATAGTATTCACTTTAATATTTTGTTAAAAAATTAAATCAGAATTCTTAATAAACATTTATTAAACTAATATTAATTTACAAAAAAAAACTTATAATTAAAATTTTATCGCTTCTTCCAGGTAAACTTCCTTCTCGCTCCAGCTTGGCCTGGCTTCTTCCTTTCTCTTCTCCTGATATCTTTTGTTAGTAGACCAGCTAAAAAGTAATATTATCTCTATTAAACAATGCCTATACATTTGTGGCGGATTTATTACAAGAAACTAACTCTAGATGGTGAGTTTCCTACGATGTTCTCTATGGGTATCTGGGAAACTACTGAAGACAGGGAGTCGGTTAAATGGGGAAAGAATTGCAGTTATGTGGGGTCATAAACATGCGCCTTTCAGATTTTTGAAAAAGTTCATCGCTTACTAGATATTTCGAAAGAAACTAATTTTGGCTATTTTAAAAATTGGCCATAATTTCATTATAATCTATTTTAGACAAAAAAAATTCAGATAAAAGTTGCAGATAATCGCATCCTTAATGAGATTGTATTCTCCGTTTTTTTCTAAAGCCTGTCATTTTTGACATATGACACAAACATATGTTTTTTTTAAATGGAAACCATAGTTGGCCATGTCTTCATAAAAAGCGACATTTTTTAAGCTTTTTTCTGCGATATATACTATAATATGTTTCTTTCGAAAATTTTTTGAGTTATAGCCAATTCTTATCATTTTTAAACAATTTCACTCAGTTAGCCATGGGAACAAGTTAAATCGTCGTTGCTCTCAGTAATGTGAAACTGTCACATCCAAACTTTGTAAATTAAAATAAACAAAAATTGTAAATATGAATTTTTCACATGAAAAAAAGCGTGTAGGATTATTGGTTCAACTTTTCTTGGCCATGCATTTTCGAGGATACGTTGATCGCTGAAAGTTACTTACGTTTTTTAGAAAAGTTAAATTTAGATACTTGCGCATCAATAGAGTGGTTCCAACATGACTTTCATTATGACAATCCCCCTCATAATGAAAGAAAGGTTAAACATTATTTATATCATAATTGTGCAAACTCAGGGATAGGAAGAGGTGGACCAATTGCATGGGCCACCTCGATCACCTGACCTATCCATTTAGATTTTTTTATGCGGTTTGGTTAACAAAAAGGTTTACAAAAGAACTTATGAATTAAGAGAGGCAATCTAAGAGGCGGTACGGGAGAAATTTATTAAAGTCGACCGGCCGTTCTGTGGGAAAAGCTTGTAATTTGGTTTTTGGTTCAGTTTTAAAAAGATGCATTTTATGTATTCAAAAGAATGTTTTTTTGAACATTAGCTAAAATAACTCAAAGTGTATGTAGTGATATTAGTTTTTTTAGTTTTAGTTTGTGTAAATGTAAATTGTAAAGAACCGTTTAATAAAATATTCTGTCTTTTTATAAGTTATAAATCATGTGAAATTAGTCAAGAAAGATAAGACTTGGCTATAACTCAGTAATTTTTCGAAAAAAAATAGCTTATATCGGTGCCAAGCTTAAAAAATGGTGCTTTTTATGAAGTTATGGCCAACTATGGTTTCCATTTAAAAAAACATGTTTGTGTCATATGTCAAAAATGACAGGCTTTAGAAAAAAAACGGAGGACACAATCTCATTAAGGATGTGATTATCTACAACTTTTGTCTAAAAACTTTTTGTCTAAAATGTATTATAATGGATTTAGGGACAAAATTTGAAAATAACCGAAATTTGTTTTTTTTTAGAAATATCTAGTAAGTCATGAACTTCTAAAAAAATCTGAAAGGCGCATATTTATGATCCTACAAAACTGCAATTCTTTCCCCATTTAACCACCTCTCTATCTCCAGTAGTTTCCGAGGTACCCATAGAGAACATCGTAGGAAACTCACTGTGTATACTTAGTTACTTAAATAAGAAAATCAATAATAAACATAATTTGCGAAACATCTAGTGGGTTGGAATCCAGGTGCCTCTTATGGCGCATTCTCACGACTCGTGTACTTGACAAACATTTGTAATTGCTATACAGGGTATATATGGTGTGTCGGGCATCTATACAGAGTACAAGTTATTTATTATAGGAATTTCGTCGCATTCTCGCCAGACCCTGTAGCCAGTAAAAAATGCTTGCCAAGTAGACGAGTCGTGAAAATGCGCCTTTAGGCCTGGTTGTACAGGGTGTCCCATTTTGTAGAAATCATATGAAGGGTTCAGGGGAAAAGCATGATAAGCGCCATTTCACTAATTTTACAGGAGAGCCCCGGACGGCTGGTAGTTATCAGGTTCTTTCCGTGTATTGTCAGTTTTTACTAGGCATGTGCGTATTTTTAAAATTAAGTGGAGGAAAACTCAAAGGGGAAATTAAGTGTTTACCCAGGCCATAGTTTACAGTTAATATTCGGTGCCCAGAGATTATGGCCAGAGAGTTGTATTAGCCACAAATAAAGTTTGTGTATTATCTTGTATATGATACCAAAAACTGGAAGACTACTATCTGTAAAATAGCAGCACATGATAGGTAAATAATAATCATATTGAATAATTATATTGATAAATGTAACAATAAATGCAGGACGTTGCTTGAGCCTGAAACACGGCTTGAAAGCAGGACATCTTTTTTATATCTTTCTTTGATATGTGGTGTTTTTTAAAATACACCCTTGCTTGTTTTGTATTAACACATACTGTAATTGTTTTTAATAAAATAACTCGATTACATTTTTTCAATTTTTGGTTTTTTTCACAATATTTTGAAGTAATCACTTGTCACTCAAATTTTAAATATATTAATTTTCTGCTATGCTTTCCAATTGTACCAACTTATCTCTTTGTAAAATAAAATAAACTACTTTGAAAATAAAATGACGGACACATCTATCACTGTCAAGGATCTTGTCGTTGGATAGACTATAAGAAGCTTACAGAATCCCACTGCAGGTAATTGCTTGGTATTTGCAGCTGATTATCGATTGCTGGCGGCGGCTTTACCATTTATTTTTTTATATTTTCAAAGTTAAATAACTCGGTTATGATCAACTTATTTTAAAAATGAAGGGTCCAGGGGAAACTTGAGAAGTGTTAATTTTCTTAAATTTAGGATTTTACAATATTATAGTAGGTCTAACTGGTCCCTACAAAATGTATAAACTCTGCAGGTCAATAAGTTGTTAAGTCCTATGATATGTGCGTAGTAAAAATAGAGAATACACAGAAAGAACCTGATAAACGCCTGCCGTCCAGTGCTCTCCTGTATAAATAGTAAAATGGCGCTTATCATGTTTTCCCCTGGACCCTTCAAATGGCAGAGAAAATATGTTTCTTTTGGCCGATCTAACACCTCTTGAAATACTTGCACTTATTTCTCGGACACCCTATATTTTGTCATATCTTTTCAAATAGTCAGAAAAAAATGAAAACAATATCAGGGATATTCGGGTTTTCCCAAATATCTTCTCAAGTAATTGGACTTTTATAGATTTCGAAATAGGACGCTAGTGTTTTTCAACAAAGCACAGCTTTATTTCTCTAACTTAATCATCTTTGAATCTCTTCTAGTTTACGAGATCCCTGTAGTGTTCATTCTTAAGGTACATTCAGGCTGAGAGCGTCGAGCGTCGCGTCGCGTCCGCGTGTCGAAATGGAATCAATTCACTTAACTTAAATTAGACCGTTCAGGCAGTCAGCGTCGCGTTTGGCGTTGCGCTAGCGTCCGCTGAGTGTCAGAGTTCGAGTTCAATGGGGCGGACGCGACGCATAGGCGACGCGACGCTCGACGCTCTTAGCCTGATTGTACCTTTATACGAAACATTGTAAATAAAGTTATACATACCCAGCCTCATCCTCTCTATTGTTTCCCTGTCAACAAAGCTCCTCAAGCCCCAAGCTATGCCCCATCTAATAGTTCCTGCCTGACCTGTAGGACCTCCTCCTACCACCTCAGCTTCTATATCCACTTTGGTCTCCATATTACAGAAAAGCAGAGGAAACAGAAGCTAATAAATAAAAAAACAATATTAAATATATAAAAAATTACACCAATTATTGACCTTGGAAAACTATGACATTTTTAATAATTATGTTAATAAAAATACGATGAAGTAAAACTCATAAATGTTACGAAAGCAAAATCTTTATTGTATGGTTAGAGTATTACCCAGTGGTATCTAGAGTATCCAATGTTAATAACTATAAATCTTATTGTTATTTGGAATTTCTATAAATAGGTCACAACCGCTAATTCTCTAATATCACATATAGCATGGCTTTAACACTATGAAACTAACTAGTAAATTATTTTTAATCCTTAAAAAATACGTATACAGAGTCGCTGATATGTATGTGAACGGTCGAATTATTAGGTAAAATATACGAGGTACCGCAAAAAGTTAGATATAAAAGTTATAGGATTTTTAAATGTCTATTAGCGAGTAATAAATTTAAGTATACAGGGTCGGTCATAAGGTCTTGGCACATCAAAGATTATTTTTTTAATGGAACCTCCTATATATTGTTGCATATTTCAATTCTTCCTTCAATTCTAAGCAAAAATCGAAATACACACAATGTACCTCAACCACTTCCGAGTTATTGACTTTTGAATTTTCTAATTTCCAGACTTGATATAATCTCATTTTATACATCTATAAAATCGTCTTAAATAAGTGCAAATATTTTCAGGGGTGGTATATTTCGACCCCAGGAACACGAAAATCGAAATACACACAATGTACCTCAAACCAACAGTTCCTTTTAAAAATATCACTTAAACAATTCGATTTAATTAATTTCGTTGTGTTCGGTTTCATTTAACAATGCCATTCTGCGGAAACTGTAATACCTAATAATATTTGACATTAGTTTTCATGGTACAAAGAAAACAAGGTATGATCGATAGCAGTTCCAATTTCGTTAAGTTTGCGCATACCACCTGTGACGTCATACGCCATACAAAAAAATATCCATATTGTTCAATTGCCACTAATAAAAAAAGACCTAAAATAAGGAAGAATTTGGACATAACCCCAAAAGATATGTCAAATCATTGAACTTGACATTTGAAAAATTATTTTCACATTTATTGTGTCATCTGTTAGACAATTTGAAATTGGCGCGCGGAGCTTGCCGACCAATGGTGCCGTTTATCACCTGTGACGACCAACCTGCGCAATATCATACCTTGCATTCTTTGTATCATGTTAGTTTTCAAGTTAGCATTTATACAGGGTGAATCTTAAATAAGTGCAAATATTTTCAGGGCTGGTAGATCTCGATAAAAGAAACATATTGTCTCTTTACCATTTTTCAAATAAGTCCAAAATAACCCAGTTATTTAAGTTTGAAAATTAAAAAATATGATTTTTGTTAGAAAAATTTTGAAAGCCACCGCATTTTTTCTGTATTTGCATCCCTTTTAGTGCCGTAACCATAGAGTAAAGCTGTAACTATGGTAATATCAGAGATTAAGAAACTATACCGTGGGACAATTTGCGGTGAACAAGCAGTTCTTAAAAGTGTTCGAAAAATATACAGGGAAATTTAAAAAAAATGCACGATTTTCAACATCTTTTTTTTTACGAAAAAAACCTCATAGACGTATTCTTGGGGTCGAAATATACCACCCCAGAAAATATTTGCACTTATTTAAGACTCACCCTGCAGATGTATAAAATGAGATTATATCAAGTCTGGAAATTAGAAAATTTTCGTTTAACATAATCAAAACTTCATAATTCGGAAATGGTTGAATTTAGGTACATTATGTGTACTACGATTATTGCTTAAAATTGAAGGAAGAATTGAAATATGTAATAATATACAGTATAACAGGGGGTTGCTTTTAAAAAAAATTGATGTCCCACAACTTTATGACCTACCCTGTATACTTAAATTAACTACTAGCTACTAGACATTTAAAAATCCTATAACTTTTAAATTTAACTTTTTGCTGTATGTTCCCATACATATCAGCTACCCTGTATATCTAATTAAATTAACTCTTAAAATGTTAATAAATATTGATTATTATTATTATTAGAAAACTAATACAAAATTAAAAAATTGTCTGTAATAAATTATATATTTTTTTAAATACCCTCACAAATTAACACCTTATAGTCAAATGATAACGATGTCACAGAAGCCTTTTATTTTGCGCTTATGACTGGATTGGCAACAAAATTTGATGTATTCATATACATTTTATAACTCTTCAGATAACATATTAATTTATATGTATACCGATCTGGTCATCGAAACTGCGTAGTCTGGATTTTAACGTGTAAGACAGTGATGTAGACAGCTTAATAAAAAATCAAATGTATTAAAAAGTGATAAAAGTTGGGTTGATACATTTCTTCTATGCGGTATTGCCGGATTTTGCATCAAAATTTCAAACCGCACAAGTAGGCATTTACGACAAATTTTCACAATAATTAGTTACTATAGCTGTAATAGATTATATTTAGTTAGATATCTTATCTTCATTTCATTAGTATACATGAAAGTTTTTACAATAGTTTATTTTTTTCTACTCACATTTTCCTACACATGTACACAAACTGGCAATACTGTATACCGCTTTTTATTTTGTCTCTCTGTCTGACAACCGGTCATTTATATATTTCTGTCGCGTGCATTAAAATACAGACCACGCAGATGCAGTGTCCAGGATGGTATAAATATCTAGATAAAATAGACAGATAATAGTGCCACGCTGTTCATCTTAGGAACTTTTTGTTTTTGTAAATTTTATTTTTATCCATTTCGGCAACTTAAAATTACCGTATGATGGACAAAATCAGCAGCACCAGAATTAGCTTGGAAGTAAAAATATAGGTCATTATTACTTATAATGACCTTATTATAGGTCTTAATTAAGGCCCCCCATTTGCTATCTCGTAAGGGCTTAATTAATTAGTATAGGTCTTAATTAAGGCCCTCAAATAACACACAAGATGTTCTGTCACTGTCAAGAACTTGATATGCATAATATGTAGAATGTGATATATATTATAGAGTTTAAATAAAATTTAATTTCTACACGACATACTGTGACTTGTATACCGTGTGATAAAAAAAACAACGTCAACTTCAAAAATGATAGCAATCTTCTATGCCAACTCTAACGTTTTTTTTTCGATCGTATTTTATGTCATAATAGTGGATTAAATTGTCAGTAGTAACAGTTTACCATCATAATCCAAATCAAGATATATAAAAGTATGAAAAATATTTCTTAAAAATTTCTCTATAAAATTAAAATATCGATAACCATCACAGAATATTCTTATAAATCTTATCTTTTAGCTACCCTTAGAATTAGAATTATTGTTCTTGTTGAAATGCCGACTTTGTATAATTGTATTCAACAGTTGCTGAATAACTTTTTGATTTGACTCTAACGTCTCCATCATAGTTTTCAAATCCTTAACTTCCTTGACTAAACCTTCCATTTTTTCGGAGTTCCTTTCAATTTTGTTGTGAACTATACCCATGCCGCCCGAATCGTACACCCCGCTAATATTATCAGTGTTATTGTTCAACGTTTTCTTTCCAATAGTGGATAGGGAATGCCCAAAATATTTCCTCTTCTTTGCTATCTCGTATGCTGCTTCTAAAATATCCTTAGGCAATCTTTTTTCGCCTGGATTTAAAGGTTTGACATTTAAAACCACCCTGTAAGCTTTTGGACTGACCAGCGCCGTCCAGTGAAGCAGATTTAACAGGTAACGTGGTAAATACCCGTTGAATAATGCCAACTCTATGTAAGATATCAGTTTTGTCTGTCGAACAAGTTTGGATAAACCTGCAGTTTTCTGAAGACCTTGTATATCGTGAACTGCGATACCCACAAGGAGATTCATAAGAATAACTGTTACGAAAAGAAGGAATAAAATATAGGTGACTTGGGCACTGATTTCCAAAAGAAAGGGAGGATCTTCTGGATCGTCGTCTACGAGAAGATCCAGACTCAACTCTCCTGTCATCATCACTAAGACAGTGATTAAACCGATAAATGGGTTGGCAAAAGTTGATGAATCCGGAAATATTACGCAGAAACTTATGGTAAACCCGATAAGGAGACAGGAGTAGGCCAGGAGGAGTTTGGCAAATTCTCCTTGTACTCTGGTGTACATGGCAACGTAAGGTCCGAAGATAGGAAGTTGTCCGATCATCAGCATCAAGTTGGTCCAGCCAAAAAGCACCGCAAAGGCCCCTACGTGATTCTGCCACGTGTATGTTCTACCAGTGTAAACGAAAGAGATAACAAACACACTAATTATGACTGACCACTCAATAATGTTCTCAGGATGTGACAGATACTGCTTCACTGTAGGATATCCGGTTAAACCATATATTTTTCGCAGAATCTCACAGCAGGTTATACCGACCAAAGCGAACCATTGCATCTCTATAACGAAAGGATTATTCCTCAACATATGCCCCATCATAGACTTCTTTTCGCATAGTTCGATTACGTTTTGAGGTTGGGTATCATTCATATTCTTCCCGTGGTTGTAACAGTTATGTGCCAAAGCCGTCAAAACGTACAACGACAAACTTAACACGAAAATAAAACAAAACAACATCCTGGCGATGTAGTATTTCCTTATTTTCTCCCATTTCAAGTACAGAAAAGCCGAACATAATGGATGCAGGAGGATCTCCTTCTGACCTTCGTCGACGAAGGTATTCAAAAAGCTGATTTCTCTCGGGTGACAGTGCTGTAATATGCTGCGGAAATCCAAACGCAACTCCACCTCCCTATTGGACGATTCGGGGTGATGGTGGAGAGTAATGGCTTGATCCAGTTTGAATTTGATCATGGCCAAAGAGGCGGGCGTTTTTCTGGTTATGATGCCCAGCGCCGTCATTCCGTATTTGGATTTGGCGGTGACGTCAGCTCCGCGGTGTATTAAGACTTCGACGCATTGAGAGAGTTCGTTTAAGGCCGCTATGTGGAGAGGCGTGTAGCCGAATTGGTCTCTCATGTTTACGTCGGCACCAAAGCTAAAATAAAATAACTTGATATAAAAGATAGAGTGTTGCCTTATTTAAAAAAGACGTGATAAGAACTAGATATTAATTACTACACATTTAAACTTCCTTCAGAACCTCGAAATCAGTGGAATAAATTAGTAGTTTCAATTAGCCGTAGAAGTTTGTTCACCTAATTTTAATGTAAGCATTCAGAACGTCATAATTAGCGGCAGTAATCTTCAATTAGTGGAATAAGTTAACGTTAAAAAATCTTTTGACTTTTCCACTAATTATGCCTCAAAATTTGCGAGGAGTGTCATTTTGGCCTTTGATTATCACCCGTCAGAAAAATTTTGTTTAGAAATCAAAATTTTATTGTTTTATAAGCTAAATATTATGCTTTCTCTATAGATACAACAGACTACCGCAAGCTGTTGCTAGGATATTTTATTAATTTTAATTGTTTTTAGACATTGTGAATGATCGTAAACTAAAAAGTATAAAGTGTAATTGAAACCACTAATTTATTCCACTAATTCGGAGGTTCTGAATGAAGCTTTAAAATCTGTAAAAATTATTAATATGTGTTACTTGCCTTACTAATATTTCTATGATATCGTAAGAACGAGCTGCCTTGCCTACTGCTGCATGAAGTGGAGTTCTTTTATCACAATCTGCTACATTAGGATCGGCTTTACCTTTCTTAAGCAATAATTCGACACTGTCATAAGATTGTGCTTTTGCAGCTAAATGTAGGGGTGTCTGTAATCTAGAAGAAAAATATGTATACTATATTAAAGAAGGGCAACAAAAAACATTTTTTCTTGTAAAATACTCTATAATGTCATACAGGGTGAACCTTAAATAAATGCAAATATTTTTAAAATCCTGTAGTTTCTTTTAAATTTTCCTGAAAATGTTTTACAACTGCATGTTCTCCGCAAATTTTTCTACGGTATCTTTGAATAAAAAGATTAAGGAAGGAGCATATCAAAAATCTTAGATCGAACGCGACGGGTCCTATAATGGCCGACTTGAATTCCGGTTTATCAGCGTCGGTCTAATTTTATTCAAAACGTATAAAAATATGATGTAGGATAGACTCAATAATTTGTTGTTTTATTTTACGTTGCCAATAAATGTTGGTAGTTATTAAAATTGTTATAAAAAATATATAATTCTAAAAAAAGTTAATTAATATTATAATAATTATTATTATTTATTAACACAAACATCCGATACGCTACCGAAGCAGTAAGTCAAACTGACGTATCTAAATTCTTTGACATCTAATCTTTGACAAGTAGTAAATAAAAGTAAAAAACGCAAGAAAAAATATATAATTAGTTAATTTTAAGTGAATTTCATAAATGATTGGCTTACTACACGTATGTAATTATTATATAGTCACTTACTAGCGAAAAGTTATTCCATTATTTCCCTCGATTTTTGACCGAGATCTACCGCACGCTACACAACCAACTATTTTACAGTCTTTTTCGATAAATCGCAATAGTATCACTGTTAATTTAAGTTCTGTCACATTTCCTTCTGTATTTACTACCTTTAAACAACTATCTGTAGTAGAATAAATAATAAATAACATAAAATAAGCTCAGTAAAGATTGACAAATCCACAAAATTTCAAATCAAGTTCAAATGTGTCAAATGAATCGTCAAACAGAACTGTCAAGGATCCATACCCTAGGGTGCCTGCTCACCAAGGGATAGAAGGCAATGAAAAAGCAAATAATCTAGCTAGGAAAGGAGCGAACACTCCACTAACTGGACCAGAACCGTTCTGCTTTCCAAGTGGTAACCAACTCAAGGCGGAACTCAAGAACTTGGAAGATTCCATCCGCAACCTGGAATGGAAATCTTGCAATGGTCTAAGACACTCGAAGAAGTTTCTGAGGTCTTATGATCAAGAAAAATCACAGATCTTCCTGGGTCTGAGTAAGAACAATCTTCGGATTGTCACGGGGTTTTAACAGGACACTGTCTTCTCAATGAACACCTCAGTAGATTGAAACTAAGAAGAAACGGCGAATGCAGATTCTGTGGGGAAGATGGGGAAACACCAGTACACCTCATCACTGAGTGCGCCGAGACGACAACCATTCGTGCCATGAATTTTGGTACGACTGATATTGGAGATGGAGAACTACCCTCTATAAAACCGTCCCAGATACTGGCTTTTGTCAAAGCCCTGGGACTGTATGATGAGTTATGATTCAAGAAAGGGGGACACAATGGATCTGTAAGGTCGAAGTGATTAACCCCCCTCCGACTCATTCTAAATTCTAAAATACCCTAGGGCACCCTCTCCGTCTACGATGCATGAATACATGGATAGCATTATACTCCTTCCTTAATATTTTAATTCAAAGTACGGGTTATGGGGGTTATGTCGTAATCTTTGATATTACCATGGTTACGGTTTTGCTCTATTGTTACAGCACTAAAAGGGCTTATACAGAAAAAAATGTTGCTCTATTGTTACAGCACTAAAATGCTTATACAGAAAAAATACGGTGGCTCTCGAAATTTTTTAAAAATAAATATCTTTTTTTTAAATTTCAGAAGGTTACGCATCTTCTTATTTTTTCAATCAACGCTAGTACCGTATGATCGAATAAAAATGGCGTCAGCGATGGCTATGAAATGAAGATCGCTGTCGTTTTATATGTAAATTTATATGGGAAATGTCATCGATGTTCATTTCATAGCCATCGCTGACGCCGTTTTTATTCGATCACACGGTACTAAATATTGATAAATCCCGATTAATATGATTAAGTAAAAAATCAATGTTACAAGAAACTGTAATTAGAGGTTACATTTCGGAATGTAGATAAAATACCTACCTGTGATTTTTAACATTTGCTTGGGCTCCTTTGTCCAACAAAATATCGATACATTCGTAATATCCTCCTTCTGCTGCCAGGTGTAGCGGAGTCTGTTCTTTCTCTTTTGTTCTAGCATTCACATTAATCCCTTTGGCCTCAACCATAATTTTCAGGCACTGGGAATGGCCCAATTCAGCTGCTAAATGTACTGGGGACATACCGCAATGTTCAATATGTCCTACGTTTGCTCCTATAATTGCAAACAAAAAATAAATCTAAATAAAAATATTTACACCACCAAATAATATGGTTTGGTTTGGTCATTGGCTACAGTGTTCGGAAAATTACTTATTCTTAAAAACTACATAAACTACATTACATGCAGTTAATCGACGTAGATGGTGTAGTTTAGTGTATTTTCAAAGATCGAAGGTTGAAGCTTTAAAAAACAGAAGAAATATGGCTTCAAATAAAACATTGACATCAAATTATTTACACCCCCTCATACAGAAGAAAATTATTAACTGTTGACCACATTAAATCAGGTTGAAAAGTACTTTGGAGGTAATTAAAATCGTATAAGGTATTTTATATTTTTTGTACCTTGGTCATGTTAAAATGTTTTAAGTTTGCGTAATTTATAATAACTTTAAAACATTGTGTTATCCATTATATTCCGTTTTTTATAAATTGATAATTCTTTAATTAAATAAAAACCCTATGCATTACATTTTTCTATCAAAATTAACATTTTTATTTACAGGATTGTTTTTCTATCATAATAAGAATATGTAATGTATCGAAGTAGTTTTCATGTGAGGCGTCAAGTTGCAAAACCCGTCTTATCAATTTAAGAAAAAATGGCCTAATGACATAATTTAATAGTGGGACACTGAAATCTACATAAACATAATCCCAAACTGCAGTAAAAGTCGCCTATTCCTATATAAAATTCACTACAAATTACGTTACTGCAACAAAATCCGTCTTATTCACTTATATTTGCTTTTTATTCTTATTATGGTTAAAAATCCCGCATTTTTTCATAAGCTTTTTACAAGTCAAATACTGCTGACATCTTATCAAATCCTTACTTAATTTTTCTTACTGAGAAACTGCCACTGTATGATATGTCAAAATTTAAACATCTTATATTACAATCCATTAAACTTACCTTCTACCGTAAAGAGCCTCACACACGCCACTGCATTGGCACGTACGGCACAGTGCAGCACGTTCTCGTTAGTGTAATTGGGACTGTTGGTCAGGGCTTCTACTCGAGCCCCGTTGTTTAGCAATATCATTGCTGTTTCGGGGCTGTCGCCAAAAGCGGCGCAGTGTAGGGGACTGAAGCATTTGTAAATGGCGTTCACGTCGCTTCCTTGAGATATTAAAAACTGCGTGCCAGGAATGCATCCGCTGAAGGATGTTAGGTGTATAGCGCTGAGGCCCTGATTTGGTTCGCTGTAACTAAAGCAGAAATAGATAAATAAATAAATATAGAAGGTAGATCAGTAGATTTCAGAGGTATAGAAGAAGTCACAAAAACAGTTTTGACATTTGATATAGTGTAAAACATCCTCTATACTATGCCCAAAATGTTTAACGAAACATTTCGTGACCGAGACAAGCCGCGATTGGTTGTTTGTTTTTTATTGTTATTGGAGTTGTCTCGGGAAACGTTTCGATCAGTTTCGACAAAAATTTTTATAACACGCGTTTATATTCTTCGTACTATTTCGCGAATCAAGGTCAAACCTGGTGGTGGCTACAGAAAAATAATAATCAATTAATGCCGCGTAAACAAGCATAACATATACAATTTTATATGTATACTAATTCATTATAATAAAAGTAAATATTAAAAATATTGTAATTATTTTCCTGCAGATTAAGTGAAAAGCTTTGTTCTTAAATGTCTATACTTATTATAAATGCGTGTTTATGTAATGAGATATAATGACAAACAAAATATCATCGTAACAACAGATATTTTAGAAACGTCTAGGTTTACTTATTTTACTGATATTTATGAAAAAAAGTCCTTTGTTTCGGGTATAGATACCGACACGTCGTGAAAACATTTCGAAACAAAATGAAATTGAATGAGACGAATTAGAATGATATCATAGTGAATCTTGTGAAAGAGGTTTTAAAAATAATTGATTGCAGACAAAAAACATGCAAAATAATGGAACTAATTCTCACTAATAAGTAATTATCTGTTATAACCAATTAGATCAAATATTTCGATGAGCAGAGAACGGAGCGATCACGTGACGCGGTAGAATATATATGATGAAATATTAAAATATATGAAATTGACATGTTACGCATATACAGCATCTAGCGATTGTGTTTTTTTAGAAAGTAATATGACAGGTTTCAGGCACTAACGCTAAATAACAAATTCGGCGAAGTTTTGCTGTAATAATGTGCATAAATTTCAAGTCTATGACCTGACGAATCGTATTTTGCAATAAACAGAACTAATGAAAGAATGATAAAATTAAAATTATCTTTTAAATTTAAATTATCTTTTATTATTATTTCTTCTTAAGAAAATGGCATTTAATTTGGGGGTTCTCTTGAACATGTACACTTATTTAGAAACCGCAACTGTTAAAAAATGATAGTTTATACCAGGGGCCCGAAAGTGAAATAGCAAAAGCGGTTCCACCGTGTCCACGGAAATTTCAAATTAAATAGTTCCAGTCCTGCTCGCTAGGTGGGAGTGCAATTAATTTTTAGATTAGGGAGTTGTCAGATGGCGTTACATTTTTTTATAGTTTCCATAGTTTCCAACGGCCATTGTCAAGAATATTGTCGTTATCATAAAGCCAATCATATTATCAAAACGATTTTACAGTTCAATTTTTATTACTTGTATTTTAAGTAGACAATTTTTTATACGTAGCTCTAAAATATAATGTAAGTCTTTATTTTTCTATCATTTAAGTACCTATTTATATTTATTTATTTCATTTTCAAAACTTTGGGCTCATTACGTTGATCTTGTTTTATTATAATAAATGATGTTTATATATTTGACTTCTATTTTTTTTTGTATGTATAAATTTGACTTTTTAATCTAATTTTTTACACAACTCATAATAAAAAAATAATAGAATATAGAATTATTAATATAAGGTAAAAGATAAGTTTTATTTAAACTGATAGTTTAGAGTGAAATTACCCAATTGAGGCGTTGCGGCTAGTAAGGGCGAACTCAACATTGCGTCAAAAAAATTTTTTTTCGTAATTTCATTTTACATTACAATTCACCTCATAGAACGGTCGAATTGTTGACTTCGCCCTTGATTGGCCTTCAAACAAACACTTTGAAATAAACGAAAGTTTCAGATAAGCGATAGCCGAGCGGGTAGTAAGGGCGAACTCAACAATCTCGCGCGGAGCCGATATTGGCAGCGCGTGACTGATTCGTTTAGTAAGCTTGCTTGTCAGTTCATTTTTATTTTACTCTGCCCTTTTGTTGAATTCGCCCGTCTGCAAATTTCTTTAAACTCAATTTTCTCAAAAGTAGCATTTGTTGAGTTCGCCCTTACTATCCGCAACGCCTCAATTGCGCGTACTTTAATCCCAACCCCCACAATAGATGGCGCCTCTGACTTTGAACTAGATATAAACCGATTTTCATTACATAAGCTTCATTCAGAACCTCGCAATTAGTGGAATAAATTAGAGGTTTCAATTACACTTTATGCTTTTTAGTTTGCGATCATTCACAAAGTTTAAAAAACACAATTAAAATTAATAGACTATCCTAACAACAGCTTGCGTTAGTCAGTTGTATCTACAGAGAAAACCTAATATTTAGCTTATAAAACAATAAACGTTTGGTTTCTAACTATATTTTTTCTTGCCGGGTGATAATCAAAGGCCAAAATGACATTCCTCGCAAATTTTGAAGTATAATTAGTGGAAAAGTCAAAGGTTTGTTAACTTTTTCCACTAATTGAAAATGTCTACCACTAATTTTGACGTTCTGAATGCTTACATTCAAATTGGAGGAACAAAATTCTACGCTAATTGAAACCACTAATTATTTATTCTACTAATTGCTAATTAAAAAATAATAAAATTCTACTAATGGTTCTGAATAATGAAGCTATAGTATGATAAATAATTGCTAATCGTCCCTCCTCTTCTAAAATGCTTTACATTATTAGGAAATACCCTGAAAAATAAAGTAAAAAGGATCCTTGATATCGTGGGAAATTAAATTTTTAGTAAGCAAAGTTTTTTATTGCATTAAAGTAATCATCAATTTGAATAGAATGCATCTAAAAACGGACAAGTATGTAAACTGTGTTTTAAAAATATATTCAAGGTTGAAATACTTACTTTAATCGAGCACCCAGTTTCAACAGTCCCTCTAGCAATTCCCATCTTTTCAAAAACGCAGCCCATAGAAAACAGATACTGATTTCCGTATTTGTCGCTCCCCTAAAACTGGTCTCTAGATTTTCAGCCACAATTTTTTTACTTTCTATATCGTCTAGATAATGATGTTTGCCTAAAAAAAATATAGGTTGATGTATCATCGTTACCATAAAAAATGATTTTAATATAGAGGGTGTCCTAGAAATAAGTGCAAGTATTTTAAGGGGTGGTAGGTCTCGATAAAAGAAACATATTTTCTTTTTATCGTTTTTCAAACCAGTCCAAAATAACGGAGTTATTTTACTTTGAAAATTTCCAAAAAAAATATTTTTTGCTAAAATTTTGAGAACCACTGGATCTTTTCTGGATTTTCTTTCTTGTAAATTTAATCTACTACCTATGTTGCCATATTATCAAGAAATTATGTTTTATAACTAAAAACTAAAACATATCCAAAAATTTTTTCAAAAAATTCCTAATTTTAAATTTTTTTTTGCGAAAAAACCTACGGCCTGTTTCTGGTGTTGAACTGTATTCCCAGTTAAAATACTTGCACTTATTTCTGGGACACCCCGTATTTAATACATATATTTATTTTTTTAATATATTCCAATTATATTGTGTTCAAATGAAAAAGTCCGAGTTGTGTTGCCAACACTACTAGAACTAACAGTAACTAATTTAAAAATAAATACTGTGTTTTCAGGTAAATCTAAGCAATAACACACTCACGATGGCAAAGGTTATTTTTTCTACTATTTCTTTTTTTTTTGTCTTTTTATCTTTAACAGTTTTGAAGTTATACCACTTATTCTTCAACATTACATTTTATGCATACAGGTATGAGTGGCAACTCGTCAGGGTAGGCAAGGTAGCCGGCGCGGCGTCTACCTTTTGTCAGAATTTAAGCGGTTTATTAGATTATATTATTTATTATTAATGTGGTCAATGCATAAAAATGCCTTTAATACACGGAAGTGTGTTGTAATAATCAATATTAATTTAATATTTTTGGTCTTGTATATTAAAATATTCACTACCGCTGAAAAAAAATAATTTTGACCGTTAGAGTATACTGCAAACGCCTTGGTTCGGCGATTTCCACATCGCCTATTCTAATACAGAGGCTCATTAGAGTCGATGCACGACGCACGACAGTCTTCTGTCTCTGCCTAACTCATCTTTCGGTATCCACGCGACGTAAGTTAGAGTGATATCGTATTACCGGGTTTAGGCGAAATATTCGGTCGCATATATCAATGTTTTTGGCCAACATAAATTAATGAATAAATTGGAGGTATTAATAATACTATAATAATTGCGATTATAAAATAATTTATGGAGAATAGTCTTGGAAATATATTTCCAGAGGGTTTCAAATTCCTTGTTTTGATTGTTACTACACCATTTAGAAACAAGTACTTGGGTTGAGAGATATTTTTCAGTGGAATAAATTAGTGGCTTCAATTAGAGTGGAAGGTTATTCCTTTAATTTTAATGTAAGCATTCAGAACGTCAAAATTAGTGGTTGACATTTTCAATTAGTAGAAAAAGTTATGAAACTTTACCACTAATTATACTTCAAAATTTGCGAGAAATCTCATTTTGGCCTTTGATTTTCTTCCGTCAAGAGAAATTGTGGTTAGAAATCAAAAGTTGATTGTTTTATAAGCTAAATGGCTTTCTCTATGGATACAACTGACTAACGCAGGCTGTTGCTAGGATATTCTATTAATTTTAATTGTGTTTTTTTAAACATTGTCACACCACTAATTTATTCCACTGATTGCGAGGTTCTGAATGAAGCTTTACTTGATGAAATGAAAATTTACTAAGCCAACGCATAGTTAACTAGTGTGGCTACTCGTCATTGATTTTTTTAAAAATCCATTAAGCGGATCAAAAGATATCACAAAAAGTAGCACAAATTATAGTGACTCGTTTCGTATGTCCGTCAATGTATAAGACACACTCACCCGAGGATAATTTCATATGTTCTATAAGATTGTGTTTGATCGTATCTGAACATATTTGGACGGTCAATTCGCTGGTAGAGAATTCTTCTAGGCTTTCGTAAATGTTGGGCGCATGATCGGCTGGCGGGCTTGGACCACACTCCATATATTCGAAATCCTCAGAACATTCTTCTAGCATCACTTCCGGGTCATATTGGGACCTATTAAACGAATTAGAATTAGTAGTAACACTAATAAAAAAGAATAAAGCGAATTTCAGTACACAATAAAATTGATTTAGATAAATTACATAAATCTAGTTTACAACTTATATGGAACAAAACCAAAGGACCATTTCTAAAACATTAGGTATGAATTCTAGTAAATTTGTCCCGTACGATTTAAAAAATGGCGCCAGAGTGTCCTTTGAAACAACAATTGATATCTATCGACCTATACAGGGTGTCCTAGGTTGAGCGCGCATTAGATGTTTCTAGAGATCCATACTATCTAGACCGGAGATTTTTTGGTTTGGTTTGGTTTGGATCATTGTTTCACAACGAGATCTATCGATTAAAAATATTTCGATATGGCGGCACTTCCGGAAATACCGGAAGTTGACAGAAACTTTCTTATTTTAAATGAGTACCCTAATTTTTTATTACATACTTATATTCTCTGAAAATTTGATGAATTTTTATATCAAACGCTCTATACCTAACATTAACCGTTTATGAGAAAAAAATTATTTAAAATTTTTGGACGAAAAAAACTGCCTGTCAAAAAATGTATATATAGCCTAAATGTTAAATTTAGTGATTACCACAGTCACTGTGGCATAAATAGAAGACATGTGACTATCTAATTCAAAAATTAAATTATTGTTCGAATGTAATATAATATTGGCCGTAGCTTTCATAGAATTGAGCGATGAAAAAATTATCATAAATCATTTTTTTCAAATTGAGTTGGTGTTCGACAGTGGTGGCGATATTCGAACTTGCGCTGAATTCAACAATCGACATCTCGAAATCCATTAGAAATAACTTATTGTAGTTTTTTTCAAAAATTTTCTTAATATTTCTGCTATATTTTCTTCGCAGACAGTACGTGAAAATCTTTACAAATGAAAAAATTACATGATTGCTGAAGATTGCTATGCACTAAAACTAAATGGACGAGTTTTTTAAAACGTTTGAATAGAAAAAACAAGCCTATCGAATTTTCCTCATTTAAACACCTTGTAATTGACCTGAACTTCAAAATAAAATAAAAAGTTTCAATATCTAAAGTGGTTCTTGAGTTATCGCGTATTATGTGTTAAAAAGTTGAATTTTAAATTATCGCGATTACTGACGTTTTCTCGTTATAAAAAAATGGATACCCTAACGATATCCTTATAATTCCATTTCAGATGCTCAGAAACATAACTAATGAGTTTGCGATCGTGATTTTACTTTACTTGATAGGGAAAGGAATGTGGCAACTCTTTCAACAATTTCTCTCACTCCGACTTAATACGATCCCTATGCGATTTACTTCCACGCATACCGACTAGTTGATTCAATCCCGGAAAATTGTATGTTGTCGGGATCTCGGGATTCTTAACCCCGAATCTCGGGATCCCGGGATTCAATCCCGGGATTTCAGTAACAATGTTACCAATGTTACTTTCAAAGAACATTTTATTAAAATTAACGTTAATTAGTTAAAACAAAAACAAAGTCTTTGGAACACAAAAATAAGTAAATATTCTTCTTAAACAACATTAAACAAAAATTAAAAATCTCAAACAAAACAAAAAAGAAACTGGACTGATAATATTATTCCATATTTTTTTAAAAATAGCGCAAAAATATAATATTGCCTATTGTGTCATCTCCCATAGCAGAACGAAATTTTGTAACTATCAAGCCTGCTGACGAAAAACACCTTTCCGATTCTAGACTTGTAGGTGGTATTGTACTTAAAAAATCAAAAGCTAGTTGTAAGTTTGTTCCACGTTGTCCACTCTTCTGGAACGTATCCATTCCATTTTTTATTTGGGCTTCCAAGTTTTCAGTTTTTATTACTGGTGGCACTGTCATTCGATTTGACATTTTTTTGGTTAACGCTTCATCTAGCCTCTCCGAAAATGACACGTCATCATTTAAGGCCTGGTACCTGTTCTGAATAGTAGCAATTGGCAAATCTTCATCCGATTCCGAACTATCTGAAGAATCTAATATAATTTTACTTGTTACATCTAGTCGTTTTAAGAGGTTTGCTACTTCTTGTTTCAAAAGTTTTTTATTATTCCGGGAATCACCGACGTATCGCTTGTCGTCGGTACCGTACCGGCGGCGGCGCTATAAGGAATTCAACTAAAAGAGAGTTTTTGCATATACAATCTTAAAAATAGCGTTTTACTATATTATATAAAATCCCGGTATCTGTTATTATTTTCCCGGGATCCCGGGATTGAAAAAATCCGATAAAAAACGTCGGGATCCCGGAATCCCGGGATTGAATCCCCTAATACCGACCCAAAAGCAAGAGTTGCCAGCATGGTATATTCGATAAATTGTTTTGCATAATAAAGGCAGGATTTCCACTAATTTAACTGTCCATGAAAAAATAAGCAACAATGCTCAATTATCTTAAGTCATGCTATCAAATCTATAATGGGGTTATAAATATGGGTCATCCAAATTATATTAACCAAATATGCAATAACCAGAAAAGTCTAGATTTGGTTAGCAAAATCGTGAATACTTTCTTTTCTGAGCGTAAAAATAACGGAAATAAGTGCTACTTAAATATTCAACAAATCTAAAATATTATTTATATCTATTTTTAGAAGTTTAAACGATTTAAGAATTCGTGTGTTGCATCTAATTATTTTACATTACCTATTTATAAAATTAAAAAATATGTGCACTGCGTGCGCATATTTGAAGTGAAACTTTTTATTAACAGGGGTGAAATTGCAGGATTTGAAGGACATGTTTGAAAAAGTGTAGTTTGAAATGTTGAAAAAGTAATAAATTAAAAAATATATTTTTTACGCGTAAAAAATAGTTTTTTACGTGTAACAAATAGTTTTTTACGTGTAACAAATAGTTTTTTACGTGTAACAAATAGTTTTTTACGTGTAACAAATAGTTTTTACACGTAATAATAGGTTTCTGCGTGTAACAAACTGGCATAACTCAAAATTGCCGGTTTAACAGGAGAAAAAACGTAAAGTTAAATTGTTTTTCTTAAAGTATCTGCAGATAGTTTAAATTTTTTCTATATACAGGGTGCTACAAATTCGAGGTACGAGCATTGCTATCTCGGAAACCGTAATAGATACGAAGATGGTTAAATTGGGGCAAAGTTGCTTATAATTGCTGACCTGGATATATCTTTCAATTTTTCTGGATGTTCCTTATTCAATTTTAATTAGCGCTGATCAATATTATTGCGATGAATATACTCAGATTAAATAACTTAAAAAAAACAGAGTCGGACTTGAAATTATTTCAAATAATAATTAAATAGTTTTGTTATTGTTAAGTTACCAAAAACAAAAGAAAAGTATCAAGTGTGGCATATCATTTTACTCAGGAGACTGAGTTATTTCAAAACCTCAAATAAAAAATGCATGTCCGTATTTAAAAAAATTAAGTTGGCCTCTGTATCTCACAAATTATCAGCTAAATTGAAAATCTAAAAATACGCTCAGATAGTCCTAATAGAGTGGCTATGAGAATGTGCAGTTAGTTTTTTTTATTTTCTAAAAAGTAACGACAGGAGAAAATAAAATTGATTTTCAAAAAAATCCGTTTTTTCCAAAAAACTGAGCAATCCTTGAAATTTTTAAAACCTTTTTGATGTCATCTTGGTTAACATCCCAAAGAGCAACTTTGCCCCTATTTAACCCTCTTTGTATCTATTACGGTTTCAGAGATACTAATGATCGTACCTCGAATTTGTAGCACCCAGTATATCTTATAATTTGTAAAATGAGGAACATTTTTTGGTTTCACCAATTCTATTTCTGATAAAAATACATATTCATTGGACTCATGTTATATCAAAATTGACAAAAGTGACTTTTTTGAGTTTGAGTCACTTTTCTTGTGTAAAGGCGAAATAGTTTTACACGCGTAAAATAAAGAAATTATTAAATAATTTAATTTACTTTCACAAAATTTGTATTTGGGTATATACGTATACTGCCCACACATATACGTCGCGTCACTACGTATTTCTAAGCCGCAGACTGTCCTTACCACTTTTTCGATAGTTACCACTTTTCGTTACCACTAGCTCGTGTCACGTGTCACGTGTCACGACTTTGAATTTTTATTCCCAGCGCGCGTAAAGAAGTTTCACTTCAAAAATTAGCTCGAACTTCGAATTATACCAATTCAGATGCGTAAAAATATATGGCGTGTTCCGTTTCAAGTAATATCATCAAACATCAATCAATTCTGTATAATTTCAAATAACTAATGTTAATATCTAGTTGTAATATAACCGGAAGTACCGCAATCTTGGAAAAAAACTTAGCTGAATCGCCCCCACCAACGTACGCCCTAAAGTTTCTAGAAAATACAATTATGCTATATTTATCGAAGTTGTTTTCAGGCTATAATATAGTATTTCAATTATAGAAAATTGAAGAAATTAATTACTGTTTACAAATTTTATGAAACAAATTATCAATGTAATTATATCAGATATTCTTACTGGGCTGCTTAATTATAATCATATACGATTGTGCAATATTTTAGTACCAGAAAATTACGCACATTTTAGTAACAAAAAAATATACGTAATTATAGTAAAAATATAATTTTAAATCGAGTATACAGACCTGGCTACCCTAAATCTGTGGTCTATTATTTTACCATGTGAGACAATGAAGGAGATATTGTGATAAAAATTCAAACATGTTAAAAAGAGACACAAGTAGGCTGAACCTTTCTTCTATTTAGTATTGCCGGATTTTATGAAACATTTAAACCAGCCAATAAGACGCTTTGATGATTCTTGCTTTAGATGTCAACAAATAACTAGTAATCTTGCTACAATTATAATATTGTATACAGGGTGGCGCCTCTCATACGCCGCGGAAGCTCCAAGGAGAACGGTAGTTTATATCAAAATGAAATGTTGGCAGCATATGTAGCTTAACTGAAAGCATTTTATAAATATATATATAGAATTATACAGGGTATCCCAAAAAAAGTTACACATCAAAGTTGTGTTTTTTCTAATTGATTTTCGGATTCTATGAAAAAAATAAAGGTGAGTTTTATTTAAGAAGCATATACCTAAAATCTAAGAATTTTGACATATTTCACATTTTATGAAAATGAAAAGTAAATTTTAAAATTCAATAACAGCTACCTAAATTTTAGTTGACTTTGTATAGTCTGATATTTAATTACAGTAACCATTGTATGTTAAACCAAATTGAAATTTAACCCGAAAAGTTATACAGGGTGAGACAAAATTAATATGGATGGTCACTTTTAAAAGCAAGTTACTCCTTTATTTTAAACGAAACACCCAGTATATTTTTCCGGTTTTCAATGGGGAATTTATATATCTTCAAAATATTATTAAGGTTGCCTACCCCTCAGACAAAGATTTTCCTACATATTTTAATATTTATGATTTTGCGTCAGTAGATCTTTATTATTTGAAAAAATCTAGGAGTGGCTGTGATATACCTTGTGTTAATTTAACAAAAATTAAAGATTATAGAGTAAAATACTCAACGGTAATAAAAAGATACACGTTCAAAACATATTTTAATTATTACACAATTAAAACTAGATATAAACCTATAATTATGTGGCAAAAATTAGCTAGCTGAAATACAAATGCTTCCTTTCCTGTTAACTGCATAAAATGATGGTCTTTTCAAAAGGCGTATGTGAAGTTCTAACTCGAAAAGCATGCAGCTACAATAATTCTTCTCATCTTGTCGACAATAGTTGGTCGAGTTTTGTAAACACTGTCTTTAACATATCCCAGAATACTTAAATTAAAGATTAACTACGAGTAATAGAATCATATCAATTCTCTCTGATGTAGGATAACTTTGCATTTTCGGCAAATTTCTGAGTTTTTTTTTTGTTTTAACTGACACAAAATGATATCTAGTTGTTAAAGTTGGACTAATTAGACAGCTATGTTGAAGTAACGTCCGACATATAACAGCCACCTAGATTTTATCAAATAATAAAAATCTACTCAGATCAAACCATGTAAATGAAAATATCTAGGAAAATTTTGGTTTTGGGGGTAGGAAACCTTAATAGTATTTTGAAGAGACATGAATTCTCTGACCCTGTATAACTTTTTGGATCAAGTTTTAATTTGATTTAAAATACGATAGTTAATTTAACTACATATTAGGCTATACCGGGTAAATTCCAATTTAGGTAGCTTTTATTGTAATTTAAAAATTGTTCTTTATTTTTAGAAAATGGTAAATATTATGTTAAAAACCTTACATTTTAGTCATATAAAATTATATATTATATATATTTTAGTCTCTTATAAAACTCACCTTTATTTTTCTCCCAGAATCCGAAAATCAATTAATATATAGGGTGGTCCGTTACAAAAAACACAACTTTGATATTTAACTTTTTTTGGGGCCACCGTGTAAAGCTCTCTATATTTTTAAAAAGTCTGAATTAACCTACATATGCTCAAAAAAGTTCATTTCAATACAAACTGTCGTTCTCCTTGGAGCTACCGCGGCGTATGAGAGGCGCCACCCTGTATAATACCATTAGTCCTAACCACAGAATATGAGTCAACGTTAACGAACGCTAACGTTCATGCTCCTGTTGTATCAATCCTCAAAATCCATGTTTTGGGATATTTATATTCTTAGGGCTAATGCTAATTCAAAACTGAATCACGCATGCTCAAAACTAGGAGTTTTAAGAATTCTCGAAATTATATCTGACATGTTAAGGTCGGCGGTTTATAAATGTTAAGAAATTGTGTATTTTTTGGTCTAGAAATTATTAATGTAAAAAATAGTTTCTCTAGTATCTAGCATTAGAATATAAGTAGGAGAAGTATGAACGGCATTTCCTTAAGCTCTTAAGGTTAGTTTCTTAGGGTTAATGTTAAGGGTAAAGTAATGACTAATTCACGAAGTATGAATCCACTATAAATTAACTAGTGTGGGTCCCATGCCCAGAACCAGAGATATGGTAAGGTACATCGAACTGTAAACACAGACCACAGATTTGGAACGACCAGACTGGTAAAATAGTATTAAAAGTGAAAGTGACTTTACCTTCTCCAGGTTTTATATAGGGGATAACTTTCCACTTCCGTGTTAACACTGACAGATCGGGAGATCCGTTTCGAGTTGTCCTGTTCATCCTGGAATGCCAGGTTGTCCATCCTAAAGGTTTTGGCGCGATCATCTGCTAGAGCTACCATTTATCTAAAACATTGTTATTTTGATAAATAAGAAATAATCCGGGAAATACAATGGTGCTCAGTCTATTACACTAATTACAAAGGATGTAAATAAAATGCAAATATTAATAAGTATTAACATTTTAGTTGGAATAATTTGATTTAATTATAGCATAAAGCGAAGGTTATACCTGTTTTATTTAATGAATTTTTTCATTAAATGATATGTATTATCGTGTATGTAGATCTACGTGGCTATCAATGATTGTATAAGCTGTTTCCTGCATAATACGGAACTTATTATATACAAAATAAATTGTACTATAATTATTATCAAGTGGTAAAAATTCACGAGCTTGTATTAAAATATTTTTTTTTCATATAAAATATTTTAATTTTGTTATTTTCCTAAAAAAGTTATTTGCTTATACAGGTTAAAATATATCGGTTTCCTTTTCGAATATTATATTTATTAATATATACAGGGTGTCCCAGAAATAAGTGCAAGTATTTTAAGGGGTGGTAGATCTCGATAAAAGAAACATATTTTCTCTCTATCGTTGTCAAATTAGTCCAAAATAACGGAGTTATTTTTGAAAATTTAAAAAAATGATTTTTGCTCAAATTTTGAGAACTGCTGGATCTTTTCTGGATTTTCTTTCTTGTACATTTAATCTACTACCTATGTTGCCATATTATCAAGACATTATGTTTTTTAACTAAAAACTAAAAAAAAAAATCCAAAAAATTTTTGAATTTAAAAAAAAAATTCGCGAAAAAAACCTCAGGCGTGTTTCTGGGGTTGAACTATACTTCCAGTTAAAATATTTGCACTTATATTTCTGGGACACCTTGTATATTATAATACTCTATAACATTCTAATTTGTGATATTCAAGCGCATTTTTTTTTGTACTTAAGAATGTTTTTATTTCAATTTTAGTATTTAAGTTATGAAGTACCTATAAAGGTTGTACATATTTCTTTAATAACACATGAATGACAACTTACGACAATATTGTTTGTTAACATTTATAAATATAACAGTATACTGGGTGCGTCTCAAAAGTGGCTCACCCCCTATAACTTTTTTATTTTTTCAGATAAAAAAACGAGATTTGGTATGTTAGTATATGACATAAATTAGGATTGATTGACGTATTCAATTGTTTTTGGTCACTTCCTATTTCACCGGAAATGACTACAACTTTTGATTTTTATATGGCACCCTTGGCATTTTTTTTGCTTTATTCGATAGAGAATTACATTTTGAATAGAATGACACATCATATATGTCAACTTATGACATTCTCGCTTAATAAAAAATAATATTTTAAAAGGCAATCTAGAGTGCCATGGCTATGTTAAAAACACTAATCCTTAATCAAGGAGCCTTGGAAAAATAGATTTGATCGTCTAAAGCTTTTAGTGTCATGTCCTGGCCAGTTAGAAAATGCTCAAATCGTATTTTTAATCATATCTCAATTTTTTAAATGGAACAAGGGTGGCTCATTAGCATATTTGGAAAAAGCATTTTTTTTACGAATAATTTCATACCACACACTTGGAATTTCGAGTCAAATTTTCGTAACGAACCGCAAGTTATAATTTCAAATAAACCATATGCGAAAATGTCAAAAGTTGACATATGATATGTCAGTGTATTCAGAATGTCTTTTTCTATCGAATAAAGTAAAAAAATACCGAGAGTGCCATTTAAAAATGAAAGTCCTAGTACTTTCCGGAGAAACAGGAAGTGACCGAAAACAATGGAATACGTCAGTCAATCCTAATTTATGTCATATACTAACATACCAAATCTCGTTTTTTAAACTGAAAAAATAAAAAAGTTATAGGGGTGAGCCACTTTTGGGACGCACCCGGTATAATTAAACAGTATATAACAGTACAGAATCCAGATCGATAACTCTTATGTTCAGAAAAAAAATATTATCGAAAATTAAAAAAAAAGACACTTGCACGGAAATCAAAAGTTCAAAAGTGCACCCATGTACTGTTATGATTAGATCGAATAACACGGTCAGCTTGTTAAATGCACTGACACAATAACGAGTAATTTTCGGTATTAATGGCCTCAATAGCCCATAATTCGGGTCTTGTTTACCCATTAGAATTTCAAAAAGCATATTTTATTCTAAAATGCTGTTTTATATAGAAAAAGAGTAAAATTAGAGAAACCTATTTCAGTTGAGAGTAATTTTCAACCGGTACGTTAAGCTGAAAGAAAATTAATTGCAAACTAAAAGCTAAAAATATGTAATGGTAGTGTCTAATGATACCGTATAATCGAAAAAAACGGCGTTAAAGACGGCTGGGTAATGACAATCGAAGATAATTTTGACGAGGATAAAAAAAAGCATTTGTTTGTTTTTTGCTGCGTGCACGTTCGTGCACGTACGACCCAAAAAAACACACAGACGCGCATCCAATGTAACCACGGGCTTAGACATTTAAGTACCGACCCAAGACTTCTCTTGCCAATAGGGTATATAATATTAGCTGGTATTATCGTATACATCCCCTATTGTCCGTAATATATACAATATAGAGATATACAATAAAAATATAGTAACAATGAACGGGTATTTCTGGTAGACCTTTTAAATTGTTTATAAAGGATAATGTAATGGCATTTCTTTAACGATCATCACCTTTAAAATTAAATAGAATTGTCAAGATATTGTACTAAATACCTATAAAACCTATATATTTATTATTGTATTGTATTTGAGAAAGAATTGTAAAAGTATTTGTTCCCTTTATTTCATTTATTTCCTTTTTATTGTTTTTTTTTCTTTCTGGTTGAGTTATGAAGTCATTTCAATTCTCCCTTTTCTGATATAATTTAATTGTTACAATAAAGACTTTTATTAGTATTATTATTAAAAGCTTTTTTCTACAATTTTTTGGAATTCGTTAATTTATGTTAACATTTTATTTACAAATTTCTACTTCTTAATCATTTAGAAATTCAGGTAAAAATAAATATTTTAATGGCAGTTTTATAATGTTACTACCGAATAAGTAATAAGTAACAAATTATAATAAATAAAGGTAAGTAATAAAACGTTTGCAGCATGGACGCATCAGTTAGGGTCAAATGTTATTCGCATAGTCATAATTTATAAAAATAATATTTATAATCAAAGTAATAAAAAGTTAATTGCATTAATTACATAAATACGTTTTAATAAAAACAGAGATTTTAACATTCCGAACAGCAAACCAGACGTAGATAATTACAGCAAAACGGCTGACGTACACTAATCATGTCTTTATCTAATTTTTTCACAAGGTAAAACGTGGACGAATGCTCGGCCTCAGAGAATCCAGAAAAAAGGTTACAACGAAACGTGTAATTTTTGTAACAAATTTGGTTTTACTTAAATTTTGCGCCAGTTAACAACATTACATTTATTACATGGACATATAAGATTTTGTTACGATATCATTTAATCTATATGAGTTTAATTAAAAATGTTATTGAGATAACCATTACCATTAATAACTAACCTAACCATTAACTATCGTATTTCAGAATTCCTATTTCACATCTTAATTTATTTTTACAAAATACGGGTACTAGGGTGTATTTCAGAAAAATATTTTAACTTCTATAGGGTGGCTCAAAAAAGTAGAATAGGAGTGGTTCGCGATAATTTAAATGGAACACCCTGTATACTATTGCATTTTTGGCTTCGGTTCAGATCACTTTACATAATCCTAAGATATGAGTAAATATATTTCAGATAGTTTCAGAGATATTAATAGATAAATAAAAAATATATATTTTTCAGCCTTTCTTAAAAAAATTATTAAAAATACAAGAACCTGTCTTGAAATCAAAACTATACTTTAGATGGTCTGTACTTACTTTGCTATAGATATGGTAATCATAGATAATACAGGATGTTCAAAATTTTACGCCAAACTTTCTAAAATATAAAATTATTTTTCTTTGTTTTTTTTTAAATCACTGTATCAAAAAAATCACTATATATAAAGTATACTGTATAGTATATCACTCAACACTGTATATTATTTTTTCAAGGTGGAGAACTAAAAAATGAACATTTTTTGTGTTTAGAGTATTTCAACATTTTTAACGGTTTTGAAGATATTCGCGATAATACTCTGAAACACCCTGTATGATTTTAAGATTACGATATTTATAGCAATTTAACTTAGAAATTTAAAATTCCATATGGCTAAAGTTAGAAGGCAAAACAAAATACCATACGATCGAAAAAAACGGCGTCAAAGACGGTTGGGGAATGATAATCGATGATAATTTTGGCGAGATCAATTTCAAAATGTCACTTACTAAAAATTGACACAAGACTTGTCAAAAATTAACACTTATTATAGAAAGATTAAAAAGGATAGAACGTTTCCAGACACAAATCTATTTCCGTAAAATTATTTTAAACTACACCATTTAAAAATAATTTTTACTCATTATAGCGCCATTAAAAACTAAAGAAGGGTACGGACCAAGTAAATAACGTCTAAGGTTTGACCTCGCTAAAATTATAATCGATTGTCACTCCTCAACCGTCTTTGGCGCCGTTTTTTTTCTATCCTATAGTATATCTAATATTGGTTTTAAGCTCGATATCTAAATAATTAAAATATCTTTTTTCTAAAACCAATTATCGTTATCAATAGAAATAATAAGAATGGCTTTTATAAAGAAATCATTGTAGGTATATTCACTATGAATAGTAAGAATTTTGCATTATAATCCAACATTCTTCGTAATCTCGTTTGAAATTTTCGCCATACGTTACAATAGGTTCCAGACATACTCGACATACAGGCCATTCATTATTATTCGATACAATAGCGACAATTACAAATAATATAATCGTCTGATTAAATGTTCAATTAACGAATATAGTACCTTTTATTGTCGAACGTGGGAAAATAATACAGTTCGGATCAAATCAGGATCAACCCGTGTCTAGTCTTGTCTAGGCTATAGAATTAAAGTTAAGGGCCAAGAGTTAACATTAACTAATGTCATTTATTGCACTTTTCTGAATAGTGACATATCATATGTCACCTTTTGACATTTTTGCATATGGTTTATTTGAAATTATGACATGCGGTTCATAACGAAAATTTGACTAGAAATACCAAGTGTGTGGAACCAAACTATTCGTAAACAAATGCTTTTTCCAAATATGCTAATGAGCCACCCTCGTTCCATTTGAAAAAATTGAGATATGATTAAAAATACGATTTGGGCATCCTTTAACCGGCCAGGATAAGACATTAAAAACATCAGACGATCAATCCTAATTTATGTCATATACTAACATACCAAATCTCGTTTTTTATTTGAAAAAATAAAAAAGTTATAATAGGGGTGGGCCACTTTTGAGACGCACCCGGTATAGAAAAAGTCTAAAAAATTTATGTAGCAGAAAATAGTAGCAAAACGATATCATGAACAA